GATCCATACGATCCATACAATCCCGCGATCCGCTTTCCCCCCTTGTTTTGAACGCTGTTTTATTAGTAGGCATAAAGGAAAATCAGTGTCAATAGATGTGCATGTTCGTGATATTATTACAATAACCTTCTAAAATCCATCTCTATGACTCCCACTTTGCATACAATTTGTGCAGAATTGAACGAGATAGCTTTTGAAAGTAAACTTCAGTCGAAAACTAAAAGAGACATTGATAAAATACATTCATCAAGTGCATAAACATATTTATCGATATATCATGTTTTTTATGCAAGTTTATTTTTGTTTTTTTATCGATATAATCTATGAGTAAAAATCGTAACTAACGAACCATCATAATTTGCACTAAATCAAATCACTATCTACGTTCAGTAGAAGGATAAGTAGTTTAATAATGAATATTAATGATATTCAATTTTCTCTTTCTCCTCTTGTGTTCTTATTTGACAATAGGGTGTCGGTGTGTGAGAGCCTGGGTCTGGTTAATGTTATTTTATACAGTCAGCCACGCGCTAACTTGATGAAAAGAAATAGTAAGATCTCCATCGTTTTTTTCCGCACCGGTCACAACTGAAAGGAAAATATGGATCACTTATTTGGTGGACTTTCGGTGTTCATGAAGCAATGTTTTGATATGCGAAAATAAGAAATAACGAAATTAGAGTCACACTCGGTCACACTTCATTGGCTCAGGTAAACATTTTATGTTGGAAGAAAACAAAAAAATATCTAACACCTATATATATATATATACAAAGTAATACCTCTTGTAGACTCACATTAAAAAATAAGCATTTTGACATCGCTTGGTAAGTAGTCTTATTCGATCATCCATATTTTTACATTAGCCATGTGCTTGATTTTTACAATATAGTAGTGTATATAATAATGACAGCAAAAATGAGGAAAGATAAACATGCATTTTTGTGTTTAATATGAAGATATTGTTCCTATTTTCGATTCCTAATCTGAATCTGAATCTTTTCTTTATTATTCTTTTTTTTCCTATTTATACTATACAACCCACACCCACACCACTTGCATCTCGTTATCATCGAGATAATCCATCACCTTGTGGCTGTAATGGCTTGTAGCCAAATCAGGCCAAAATAATACTTTTTCTTTGGTATGAAACCTCTGAATGAATGGTATCAAACGTGCTTTAGTACAATTCCTAAAATATGTTTCCTGGCTTACAGCTTGCTTTTGTTTGGAAAAGAATGGCTGTGAAACGCCATTCTCAGACATCGCAATTCAAAATCATTTTTTGTCAGTAAACGATATAAACGACGAGCACGAGTTGGAATTTGTTCAAGTTGTTTATCGGAATATCTTGGAGCTCGTTTCTTTTTATGATAATAGATACTCATGACTTTCAACTGATTTGTTGTTCACAAGACGTTTTGGTCGTGCTAATTGACCAGTTGTTAGTTTTCTTGGACGACCAAATCTGGGTTTGTTCACGATGGCACCATATTCTTCATACCTTTTAATAACGTAATATATTGTTCGACGTGGTACTTTCTCTTATAAAAAATGATTCACAGTAATTTTCTTTTGTCTGTTCGCCACATTAATGTAATGTTGTACAATGCGAATTTTCAAACAGTCTCTTTCAGAACGTGTCATATCTACAAAACAAAACAATAATAAAACATATTTTACATCAAATTAAAGTTCTTCTAAAGTGCTCTTGATAGATTAAAAAAGACTAGAAAAGCAATCAGTACAATGCGAGAAACGTATATGTCAAATTTGCGCAAAGACTTTTTACACATAGGTTATGTGTATCTCGAGTTGGATTGTACATATAAGAAATACATAGCGTATAAAGACGAAACAAAAATAAATAAATAAATAACTTGTTAGAGAGTACTCTCTAACACCTTCGACAGGGTTTATGAAAATGCAGCGTATGATAAACCCTTTTAAAGTTGTTTAGTCGTATAAGCGCTATGATAAACCTTTTTTTATTTCTTCTTTTGATGGGTAGATAGAAGGGTTTATCGCATGCTGCTAAACGGTAAAAAAGAGTATATCATACGTTACATTTTCATAAACGCTGTAAACATTTATCATTCGACGCTTTTTTTTATCAGTGTAGCTTTTTCAGGCCCAATATAGAATGTACTGTCACGTACTGATCTACGTTGGGTCTAAAAAAAACCTCGGATCGGGTAGCTTGTACTGTCATGTATTCTTATGTACTGACATGTATTGAGAAAGTACAAGCTAACCGATTCTAGGTTTTTCAGACCTAAAGTAGACCAGTACATAACAGTTACATTGACACTAAATGAGAGTACATGACAGTACAAAATTATTGAATGCTGTATTATGTGATAGAAGGAATCGTTAGAAAAATCCAGAGTACAATTCGTACTCGTATTTGTCCAGCCCTCAGTTGGATGGTTCCATGGAAAAGCTACCACTTTTCTGGAAAGGTGTTCAAAATTCGGTTGTAATACTATGGAAGAAGTAAAGGCAAAAGACGACTACAAAGGTTGCTCACGGGACCCATAAAAAGTCTTTTCGTTTGGGAGAGCCGTGTTAAAGATCGGACCCGATCAGAGGCGTACCTTTCGGAATATGATTCTGTTTGAAATTATAATTCGATATCACGGTCGGACGCAGCATGAAACACAGACTACAAATCACTATAATTCTTTAGTTTTTAGAGTTTAGTCAGGAGATAATTAGGGCCAGTGCTTTCGACAGTGGTCATTCTGAGATCCACAGACCAATTTTCGATTTTCCGCTTTAGACATCCCCTGACTGCGATTTAAATATGAATCGAAGGATATTTGGCAAGAGAAATATTTCTGGCAATGTGGTGCGATCAGGAAATTTGTACAACGGAAAATCGAAAACTGTTCTGTTGATCTCAGAGCGCCACTATGGAAAGTATTGGTCCTCATTATCTCTTGACTGAATCTTTAGAACAATGGAAGATTATAGTATTTTGGAGCGAGCGTTTCGTGCTGTGTCTGAAGATAATATTAAATTCTAGTTTGAAGATGAATGATACCGGTGTAACCAGGATTTGGGGCTAGGGTGGGCTCACCGCCGGATGTTTAAAAATGTCACACAAATGCTGTCCCAGTTTTTTTCTATTACTCTGAATACAAACAAAAATGGAACTGGTTTAGTAAAACTACACTAGAAAGTTCGAGGCCACCATTTTAGCAGTTGGAACTCCTAAGAATCGCGTTCTCTGATCCTGCATTTTCGGTCATCAAATTACAATTTTACAGGTGTCATAATGATAATGAATACGATGCCGCTCAATGGTTTAGATTACAGTAATTATCAGAAAGAACTCCAGTCATGCTCACGGAAATTAAAAGTCTCGCAGCCCAAACTAGTTCTAACCGATGTGAACAGTACACTCTATCCGTTTGAAAGCATGTAGCATTGTGACTTCTCACCTAGAGTTAAAGTGTATTCTAAATAAAAGTATTTTATCGAACTTCGAAAAGGTTCTTCCCGTGTTTCTGGGAGAAGAACCCTTAAAAAAGATTCGTAGCCTGCAGAACCTTTTTTAAGTTTGGTAAAAAACCTTTTTTTAGAGTGTAAAAGTAAGAAGAAGTGAATTTTAATGGAATCACATTCGGTAATTCCGCTGGGAAACGGAATGGAAGGCTATCTGAAACAGTTTTGCAGTGCCGTGAAAATCACGTGGCGCATTGCAACACTCGTTGTTGCTCGTTGCGATGATATTCAAGACTGTGTGAACTGGTCACGTTTAATATTTAAAAATATTTCCTAGAAATACTTTGCTGCTGAGAAATATCTGTTTATGATAAGTTTTTCGAAAGACCTATCGGGTCGAGTCACTTGTTAGTGACCCACGACGGTCATTGGAGCGGACTATTGGTCCGTTGCTTAGCCAGCTGTAGCTCCGGTAAAAAAGGACGTAGAAGGCTGACGAGAAATCGTAAAGCATTGCTAGAATAAAAATCTTGAACAGTGTTGCGACAGAGCAATAAGCGTTGAGACGCGCTTGACTAGTTAGGTCCCTATTCAAGATAGTGTTCCTTTTCAAGTGAATGAAACGCCTCATGAAAGTTGATTTTTATGCTCCGTACTTTTCTTCCACAAAAACCATCTTAGAAAACAAAATTACAAATCGCTGTTTTCGCTTAAGATTCGCTTCAATATGGTAAGAAATTCAAGCGAACATGTTTTGGATGAACAAACTGCTAGCACTTGTCTTGATTTGAGTGTAGTCCTGAGCCCAGTGCGGCCGAAGGCCACGACGCTCGCGATTTCACTGAAAAGCATTAGTTGCGAATTTCTTATGCTACATCTATTCACCGAACCAAGCACGTTCGCAACAAGATGATCATATGAGTTTAAGGAAACAACTTCACTAGTTCTCTCATGGGCGCATAATGAGACTGCTGTTGGATAAGGGTCAAATTTTCACGGACAGAAGTGAAGAAAATAATTTCTTTCATCAAAAAAGTTCGTCGTTTCATTCGTTACGTTTGAGATTCATCTTACTTTCGTTTCGGCCGAGGAATTTTTGTGAATATTGCGTAGAAAGTAATCTGTCTAACTCAACCCTGCTCACGGCAGGCCTGTATATAACAAAATGTTCTCTTTTTCTCGAAAAAAGAATAATTTCTAGAGTGGGCTCAGTCCACCACAGCCCACCTCCTAGTTACGCTACTAATGAATGATGTTCCCGAGTTTTTGACTATGACCGGGCGACTCATTCAATACTGATCTCTCAGACTAAAATACTTTTAATGGGTTTCATCCCGAACTCTGTTACTCGTCTCTTGTGTTCGCTTGTTTCACAATATATACAACTGAATTCTTAGGTCTTTTCTACCGACGTGGTACAGTTTCTATAGAACCACCCAGTTATTCTTCTTACTTCTCTTCCCGCACAGTTCTCTTTACTTCCTTCACGTCGATAGATTTGAAAAATTTCAGAAAAATTAAATCGATTCTTCACTCGTTTTTGTTCGATAATGGCAGAGGTAGCAAGCGTTATTGGTATTCTCAAAACCGGCAAAGCTGTTCACGATTTTATGAAAACAATAACCAATCAGGATCTAAACATGAAAGTTGAGTGGCCAAATCCACCGAATAAAACCATTCGAATGACTTACGAAGAAACATGGGCTCAATGGTTCGGGCGTCAGGCTTCAAGGGCAGCTGGGGTCCCAGACAGTCCCTGTCCAGTTTACGCTGAATACGCCGACTCGCCTCCAAATAAGTTCAAAGTCATTGAGATCGTCTGCAACAATATTGACTTTCTTACACAATTCGCGTCGAGATACCATGGAGACAATTACGTCGACCAAAAAGAAGTTATTAATTATTTGAAATATCAGGCACAATGGTACGGAAAAGTGTCCAGCATTGTGACGATCTTTCGCGAATATGAAAGGTGCGTTATCATCGACATAGGTGGCATGTGTTCAACCCCATCCTGTCATATTCGAGAATACAAACTAACCTACACCCTGAATTAGTAGCCATCGTCGCTCACACTTCGCAAAACCGAAATAAATTAAGTTCTTGAGTATTATATATAAAGGACTGCTACGACTATAGTTTCGTCCTATCTCAAAGGAAACTTGAGGGTGTGGGTGTGGATGTGTTTCAACGATGTATTAGATTAGAAACCAAGCCATCATACGATGCATTTCGAACGGGGCTTAAATTCGTTCAATCATCTGGTATGTTCGCTTGTATGACTAAATCACAATGAAAATAATTATTATTTTGAATTATAAATAGATATGTATATAAAAGGTTTTCCAATAACAATAGAAGACCTCCAACAATATTTATTCAACATTCTCAAATAATAATTTGATCACTATATAATTTAATCTTAAATCTCTATAGGCTGTGGGCGTGTTTTAAAGCATACTACGACGCGTTTCGACCTTGCCGAAGGGTCTCATTAGGTAGTTCTATCTTTCATAACTATTCGGATGATGGATGTGAGTGTGAGTCTCCGCTACCAAATCATCCACATCCACACCCACACCCACACCCTACGTCAATACTCTACCCCACTTATAATCACACCATCTTTGCTACCACCCATGAGAAAATAACGATATTTTTCTGAAACAGCTCTAGTTTCAGCCAACAATGTAGCTCGGCTTGTGTATCTCGGTGTTGGTGTTGCGTAGTGTGTAAGCACTAGAAAAACTTTTCGCAACTTTTTTGGTAGTATTTTGAAAAGTATCTTTGATATTTTGCAGAACTGAATCATTGTTTCCATGCTGATGTTAGAGGTCTAATACTTGCTAATACTAGTCTTGCACAACACTCTGAGCTCGGTTGAGTCATATTGATTCATCGATGAAATCAAAAACGTGAACCGTATTTGCAAATGTGATTCGGTTTCTTCCATATGACCGAAGTTTTGATAGGCAGTGGTCACGGTATTATGAGCGATGGCGATTAATAATTTATAATTGAATGGGTACAACAAATTTGTAATGCTTGCTCATTTTCATCTGTATCTTCATCAACAGTATCCAAATTATGGTAAAAATAGCATTTATGAGACGAACATAGATTCCTCGGCCGACGGCTCCTTAGAGTGGTCTAGCGCAGTTTCGAACTACTTAGCTCTTAAAAGTTTGGTTCTTCTAGGGTGTGGGTTGATGGTCTGCGTACCACTATGGTTTAACAGAAGATAAACTTCACACGCATATGCCTGTACGGTGCTCAGGCTGAAGACCAACACACAAACATACACAGTGCTAGTAAAGAAAGTTGATGAGAAAAATTGCATTATTTTACTCATTAGAATTCATAGGCATTCTTACTTGTTTTCTTAAGGATTCTTTTTTTCTAGTATTATTGCTGAAATAGCTTTCTTTTATTGAAATATGGATATGTAACAGAAGCATAATGATGTACCTTTGTTTTTATAAATAACCAAGCAACATGGAATGAAGCTTTAAAAGTAACGAACGCTGAGAAATTAACGGCAGTTATTGAAATTTTTTGCTCACTCTGTAGAGTTGATTTTTCTTTGAGAGTTTCTTCACAAAATTCTAAACAAAGTCTGCAACGTAACTATTTCTTGTGATCATTTCGGAAAAAGAATCAAATTCAAATGTCGAACGTATGTAGCAAAGCGAATTTAAAAAAGGATATCTTTTTGTTAGCTTATGGTTATTGACAAAGAAAATTTTAACTAGAATGGACAAATTTTTCTTCTAATCATTATAAAATTCATTGAATGTTTTTTTTCTCGAGAATTCGAGCATATTGCTTTTTTTAATGACCAAGTTAACAGTACCCAACAAAAAAAAATAATAAGGGAGCCAAACCATGATCTACTGATGGCGTTGGTTTTGATGAGAAACGAGTGCCACCATATTCTAATGCAAAAGTTCACACTGAATCTTTTTTATCAGGCGCAGATAGGGAAGAAATATTCGCTCGTGTATGCAGAATTCGAATAATTGTTTCCATCAAAAATAAAAGCGCTAAAATTAACCGATCTTCTACATAAATTACGACATTGTTCGAATATTTCAAGTATTAAATTTCTATTTCAGTATGAGTGAAATAATAGAGGAGACAGCAGCTACCGAGACTCATGTAATTGCGATTTCTTCAGACTTGTTAATAAGTCTTGAAGCATTTTGAAATAGATTTTATACTCTTGCTGAGCACATATAGAGTTTAAGTGCGAGTATGAGCTAAGATGTCATCATAATGAATAAATTTCAAGAAAAAAACAATCACGGCAGCTACCAGGTCTCGAAGCGGGTCACCCAACCGAAACTTAATTTACTTCTTTTCACACAAGGCAACAGAAAAAATCTTTAGAGATGCATTTGAATCCATTTTAGCCCCTTTCTAATCAATTTTTGAAAAAACATCTCCATCGAAAACGTATGCTAAAAGAAAACAGAAGGCTCAAATCAACTGAAAACTAACTTGCAAAGATAAAAAGACGCCAATGAATTCAGACTTAAATAGCACGATTTGATCAAGTACTATTCAAAAATAACATTTCATTGTGTTTTATTTTTGTTAAGGCTTCGTTATATTGAGTTTTCATCCGATCATCTTTAGTAACCAAGCATTTCTATTGTATAAATCTATTTTAAAATTTATGCAGTCAATCAATAATGTGAGAGCATTTCCCTGGGTCAAACCATGTCCCTTGTCTACCAAAAAATTGAATATACTGTTAAAGGCATTAGACATCATGGGATTCACTAGAGTAAAAATGCTAACTTTGATTAAAACCATCTTGGCGAATAAAAATAGCACTCGATCTCATTCCTTGAGGATGTGGGTATTCATTAAGGGAAAAATAATACTCACACTCTCAAGAGAACAGGTCTAATCTTGCGTTACCCATGAATAATTTTTTGTTCAGCATATTTCACGGTAAACAATTGTATACTGTCATTTCTAGAAATCAATAAATGGCAGGTTCAAAATCTTCTATAATCAAGTGTCACCATCGATTATGCAACACTCAAACAAGATTTCATATGTGGCAAAACAAAACAACAAACTCAATCGGTATGATAAGTATTCATTTTTATATGACATCAAGCTAAAAAGCAGCTTTGACAAAACTAATTGTACCATGGCAATCAGATATATGTATCTATTCTTATAAGTATCATGTTCATCTAACGACGCAGTGCTATTACGATAAAAAGGTTAACATTTTCATCTGTGCAGTCACTAGTGTGACGCGAGGTTTTGTTCTACGCTCGTCTTTAATAAAAAAAAACGATGGCAGCATATAGGGTCTTGTTTATTATACTATCATTCACGATTCATATAGGAATCGTATGAAGTGATATGATACGCTAGAACGTGATTATCATATTTCCTATGCATCATTGTTTACACTGCTACGGCAATGCCAAAGTGTGTATCTCAGCCGCATGTTTTATCAGGAAAGACAAGGACGTGAAAAAATTTTTGAACCTTCACATCTTGACAACTGAACACTCACACTCTCTCATTCAAACTTCGTTCTACTACTCACTTATGATAAATCCATATTTGCTTTTATATCATACAGGGCACTGTATTATCGACGAGTGTGGTATTTGTTTTGCTTCGCTGCTTTTTTTGCAATATTCTGGTCATTGGTCGCCGCTGCCATTGTTTTCAATAAAACGAGTACGTATTAATATAAATCAAAGATAAGAATGAAATTAAAGCTGCTACTGACAACATGATACTAGTTTTCGATAGTTGCTGAAGATCTTTGAGTAAAATCAATAACTAGCAACATAGGAAGTGTTGCTCTCGATGGAATCGTGAGGAAAATAATTCTCTCTTCTATCAAGTATTTATCGCAAAAATCTCAACGAATGATTCGAAAGACATTTTTTTCCGATTGAAGTCTACGAGATTTCACTCGCAACATCAAGGTAAACCCTGAGAAATGAATAGTTGATCAAACCTCAAATGAAAGCATGGATGCTGGGAAGCAACGTTTCTACAATCACGAAAGTATTTCGCATGAATAGTGCATATGACTACAGTTATTTCTTTCTCGATTAATAGCCTCGATCTGCCACCAACCGTATGCTTCTCTATTGGTCAATTGGAACCACAGAAGTTTTCTCTCCGACTGTACATCTTTCTTTTTTAAATGTTTGATACATCCCAAAAGAACTTTACGGAATAAAACATAATCCTATTGACGATCGATTCATGCGGGAATATTCTAACACAATGCCCTAGCGAACCTCCATAACAAATAAAAACTTGAACCGCTACACTGGAAAAATAGCCCCATTCAAGGACAATTTAAACTAGGAAGTAAGAACTGAAATACACTAGCAGCGTACCCCATCCATAACGATATACACCAAAGATACCCGCATGCACACATTGGCACATAGGCGTCTGTGTCTTCACTCCTCCTTAAATGCCAGCATCCCATCCATTATCACTGTTCATTGCTCGAGATTTTCTGAAACTCCACTGTGCATATGAAATGATCGGGTTTCTGGAAAATTCATGTCACAAACGATTATTCTAGCAACATCACAAACAACTTCTGCTGTTGCGGCGCCTAGTACTAGCGCAACAGGTCAAAGACCAACTTTTTTGTGGACGAGGATTATTCTAAAATTCTTCAGGTACCACAGCGTCGACATCGACATCGACATCAACATCGACAACATCGACATCAACATTGACAACATCGACATCAACATCAACTGCAAGTAATTGAAATCATCCGTATTAAACGTTTCAGATATGTACTAGAGGATACTTCTTCTTGACATTTTCATATCCTAAAAACCTTTATACTATACATGTCTAAGGGATATTCGAAAGAAGACATATAACCCATAATATATTTATAAGAAAAACACTGAAAGTTGACCTTGATATTGAAATTTCACTACTGATATAGTGTTGTCTTAATCCGCCATGCATTTAATGGATTTTATAAAAGATAACTACGTTTCCCTTTTGATGAGAAAAAAAACTTTCGTAAAAGGAGTATTACACGCAATCTAAGTGCTTGCCGTTTTTCGAGAGATCTTTAAAGGTTGCATAATTGTGACAGCCATAACATTTTAAAAGGATCCCTGACTTTGTCGAGTCATTCGATAGGAAAAAATTTTCAAATGGCGGTAACATGAAGGTTTTTTTCTGTCCATACTATAGAATATTGGACTTGCAAAACTAGTTGAGATTCAAAAATAGATGTGACTATTGCTATTTCTGATGCCAGAATAAAGTCAGTGTATTCCAGGATCATACGAATATCTGGAAAACGAGATCAATTAAAAACCTATACTTTTCATCGATCGAAAAAGGATGTTTTGGAAGATATTGAAATATACTATTGTAGAATGCGAAATCGTTACGTAACCAATTATTGTTGGAAATCTTTCTACAAAGTCCATAACGCCATGTAGTCTACATAAGATTTCGATTTGAAAAACTTTGTATTATAGAAACTGTATCGGGGAGAAGAATCTTTGCGTTTTCGTGTAAATCTGCCAAACTTAAAAAAGTTTTCACAAACTTATTCAAATCTTTTTCTGATTCAGTAGGTTTCTATAAAAACCTCAAAGATTCTTCGCCTGGATACGTGCAGGTTCCGTAAAAACACCTAATTTTGAAGAGAGTAGCTTTTGCCTGAAACAATAATTTCTGTGACATGATTTTGTTTAGCAACGATTCTCTCGTATGTATGGAATTCGACCGGCAACACTGTTGTCAGCGACTCTTGCTGTAGTGCAAACGCCTTGGCTATTGACTCGTCCAATGCGCTCTATGTCGTCCAGAGTGCAAAGAATCGAGTTCAAAAATATATCATTGGAGCGACGAACAACAGTACAACAGTAGCTGGTAACGGTAGTGGTGTAGCGGGATCATCTTCTTCTTTGCTGAATAGTCCTAGTGATGTCGCTGTGGATTCAAATGGCAATGTTTATGTGTTGGACCAAGCGAATAATCGTGTTCAGCTGTGGTATAATGGTGCATCGTACGGAGTAACTGTTGCAGGCACAAGTAAGGAATAAAACAGGACTTCCGAAATAATCAGATAGAGTGCACTTTTTTAAATGCATGCCACATATTTCAGAACTCATGGGAGGATTTAACTATGCGAGCGTGCACATTGTTTTTCTCTATATGATAATTAACAAGTTGCCCCTACTTATTATGTTGTAAATATATTAGAATTCCATAGTTCTTTTTCTAAGAGCCCGTACCCAGAATTTCACGAGATATTTCATTGAGTTAATCAAACATGTTGAAAAGAACTAGCTCGGTGAATTGTTTGTGATGATCTTTAATCTAAGTTTATCTATATTGCAAAGCGATACTTAGAAATAAATTGTACCGCATTCATAGGCTTGTACATGCTGTTCAAAAGCAATTCCTATAACTCCGAGCATGACTTAAATTATTTTTCAAGTCATTTATTTTCATTCATCGTTTTATAACCTACATTAACACATTTTAAATGTCAAAACAGATTAAAATGATGGATATTTATAGAAAACAATTGATTTAGCTTGCTTTCGTTATTATTGACTTCTCTAGAGTGACAGATATTCATAAATATTTTCAAAAAATAAATCAGATGACACTAAAATTTTTATACCAATAACCTTTTAGATTTTGAATTAATAGTCAAACCATTTAGTTATCTGAATAAATAGTATTATATATGAAATACGAACGTATCGAAATCATTACTTCGAAGTTAAGTAGCTACCTGCTCAATCAATTGAATGAATCTAGAAACCAAAATTCACCTGTATCTGCCCCGCTGTCTATTTGTAAACGTGGCACAAACGACCATTTCGGTGATACAAATAGTCATTTTGATGGCAATACCCATACAATATCCAGACGCAGAACAAATGGCATAGTCCCATTTGGTAAAGGACCTAGTGGAAGAGGAGAAGTTGAACCCTCCTACGTAAATTTGAGCCCACCATCGCAAAATTTCAGAACCACGTGTTTTAGTAGCTAAGCGAGACTCAAAGTTCATTCTCTAAAAGATCTCTGAGCCCTGCCAATCTAAGGCCAAGTAAATTGAGAATCGATTTACATTACTTGTCAAATACTAAAAAAGAATTAAAATATACAGCTCAACTACAAAATCCGTGAAGATTGTTTGTTTTGTCTCGAAAATTTTCTAATTTCTGGTGGAGATACTATTTTATTTTTGTAGATAGTTCAGGAACGGCAGCCAATCAACTTAACTGCCCATACTTCATGGCACGCGACCCAACCACGGGTACACTTTACATTTCGGATAGTGGCAATGGTCGTGTCATGCAATATCTATATAATGCATCGATTGGTACCGTCGTTGCTGGTGGTTATGGAATAGCAAACGGTCCTACTCAATTAGATTATAATTCTGGTGTCTACTTTGATTCATCATCAAATAGCCTTGTAATTGCTACCTATCTCGGCAACAATATAGTTCGATGGAAATTAGGATATAGCAATTGGACGTTAATCACTGGTAATGTAAATGGTACGTCTGGCAGTTCATCGACAATGCTCTATAATCCTATGGGTTTGACACTCGATCCATCCGGCAACATCTATGTGGCCGATAGAAACAATCATCGCATACAATTATTTTCTAATACATCAAATGGCACTACAATTGCTGGCATTACTGGTTCACCAGGAAGTAGTGCTACTCAGCTCAATAGTCCTTCAGCAGTGGCATTAGACTCACAGCTGAATCTCTATGTAGCAGATACAGGAAACAATCGAATTCAAATGTTTTCACGCAGTTAATAAACTACTCGATGGAAATTCAAATGACGTCTTTGCTTAGTTTTTGAAATTGATCTTTTTAAATTTACGCTGAATATTAAATTTTATTCTCTTTGTGAATTGTTTTTTGAACAGTACAATAAAAAAGTGCAAAATTTTACTATGCACTCGCTGATCAACTCGAAAGATCGATATATTAACATCTCATCATAAATTAAAGTTATCTATTACGTAACAAGTAAAGTCAAAACACGACAAACGTTTCTTGTGAGTTTTCACACGAACTGGTTCGAAAAAAACTGAAGCGGTGATTTATTATATGAATATTAATTGAAGCTCCTAAAAAAGCTCTTAGCGCAATCCTTTTGGGATGGGTGCGAGTGTATTTATTTAGTAGGGTGAGTGTGGGCTGTTCCGTCTTCTCAATTATACCATGCCTGATGGAGCTGAAGATTTTTTTGTTCGATACTAAACACCACTTTCGACGATTAAAATCCTAAAAGGGCTTTCAAAAGCACACATTTTCATTTTATGGAGCCTTATTTTGTCATCTGTTACAAATACAGCGATGCATATAATATTTTCTAGCAAAAAGACAAGTAGACGTCCGAAGCACATTTTAGTATTAGAAAGAAAAGTTTCAGATCGATCGGAAGAGATACGCACGAGAATCAGGAATTCTATACACATTTGCATAAGAGAAATTTGAAAATCACATGAGCCAACACTAAAATTGTAACATCAGAGAAATAAACATTGCTTATTCAAAACCAATTGTTTATGACTCTCTCAGTATGTTCCGCTTTTCTTCGTTGATATTTTTGATGAATCGAAAAAGTAAATCGATATTCGGGGCAAACGTGAAAAATAAAATCTAATGGTATATGCACAAGCAAAAACAAAGAGCTACTGTAATTTTATATGGGCGACACCTCAGCTGTCGGTTCATTTATTTATTTTTCTTGAGCGAAATCGATCGTTGAAAGTAAAAATTTGGAATGAGTTTTATACTGTTTAAACATTTTGATTGCATACCAATAGAACATAACTTTCATTTCTATGGTTCACACGATTAAATTTCCATTTTGCAATAGTGTTGTTCCAAGAGCAGTAGTGACCGTTTGAGGCACGACTAAATAGTTTAATAGCTACCGTATCTTCAATCTTTCTTGTACTATTATCAGAAAAGAAACAATTCAGTCCAACTCGCTCGTCATCTACAGGTTGTTCTCTATTAGTTTGAATTTTAGCTTGTTGGCGTTGTCTAGTCATCCATGAATTCGCTTCCTTTGCTTTATTTTTGAGAAGAGCAATCCCACTAAGAACATTTGCTTTCCAATTCCAGACTTCGTTATAAGTAGGTGGTGGGTTTGTGAGTTGATAAATACCGTAACCATTATCTTTTGCATTCGAGAAAAGTGGATAACCATTAGGTAAAAACTCCTGTCTACCTTCGCTCTCTTGTGCTGCTATTTTTTTTGCATACCATAAGTCAGTATGGGCCTCGATATACGCCATGACAGTTCGTTGGGCCAGTGGGCGACCAAGTATTTTGAATGAGATCTTACCGCTTTCCTTCGTTGAAACAACAGTCCATTTTGCTGTTACGCTGCCCCCAAGTGTTTCATTTGCTAAAGATCTAACAATATCAAATGATTCCGATCCCGATGATTGACCATTCACCTTTTTGGAGAAACTTCTTGCACCTGTGAATGCGGCTTGGTAATTAAATGATACTTCCCATAAAACTGATTCACAAGATAAAGCAATTAATGGTGGCATTTCGGCGTCGTCATTAATATAGAGTGTCCCATCATTTGAAATATCTCTACCACTCGATCGTAATTTTATGTTATACTGATCATTAGCTTTGCTGTTTTCTGATTTGCATTGATCAGGACAAACAACTGTAAAATCCCACGCTGTTCCTGTACAACCGGCAATCTGTTGACAAGCACAATTCGGTTCAACATCAACATGGATATTGCCGCCATTTGATAATATCAAATAAACACTTTGATGACTCATGGTGCCAACACATCCACTGTCGAATAACAGTTTCTCGCCATTAAAGACTTTCATTCTATCTTTTACCTGTATTGTATTATACAAAAATTCAAATTCTGCATTTTTTCGAACTAGATTATAACGTCGAGAGACAGGCGCATCGGCACCAGCAACCTGATTGCCATCACACTGAGAGCCACACGATGCTGAACAGGCTGAATAGCTACTCGAACTACTGCAGATGTCTCCACAAGCGACATTCGCTCGATTCGTGATAGGAGAAGCTGACAACTGCGTATTATCTGATACTAAATAAGCACTATACTCAATATCAGTGCAAGAGTCCGAAATTCCCTGTTGAGAACACATTGTTGAATCAGTTGAGATTTGCACACGTAGCAACTTCGATCTATCGGGTAGATTTGTTGGAATAATATTAATACCGAATGATGGTTGTACTTGAGTGCTAATTGGAACGATATTTAAATTATCAGTTTTCTGACCGAAGTATATGCCTATGCCAGTAAGACTGGATGTGCTTCGTTGTAAAGCAGCAGCTTCAGGAATACGAAAATAAAGAAACTGTTCACGACCAGCTTCAAAAATGAATGAAGTATTGTCGATCGTGCCAATTTGATTTAATATGGTTTGATTCAACAAAAGAAATGAGAAATTTGTATCGGTTGACTGAGTGAATTCAGAGATCTTTGCCTTGTATGTGCCCTCAGGATACAAAGATATTGCATTTAATGATTCTTGCAGTAAATTAGCGACTGTATTTGACGCTGGTGTTGTAGCTAAAATAGATCTTTTTGATTTTTGGTATTCGCTCGATCAAAAGTTAGTCAAAGCTTATTTTGAGCACCCGTTCGTTTTTTGTGAGAAAAAAGGCCATAATTAACTATAACATTGTTCCTTCTATGCGTCACCATAGATCATTGAAATCGTTTATGAAATATAACCTCAGCAAGTACGATAAACGAGATATTTAAAGGGAGGGGGAGCCCGCCCAAACATACCTACAAACCCTACCAGTTTGCAGAGAATATTTTTAATTTCTGGCTAATTAATTAGCTTTAAAATTAATCAAAATATTTTAGGTTGCGCTGCTCTTTTTAAAAGCATTCTAGTGTTTCATTTCAATGTTAAGGTTACCCCATTTTGGTGTAGCTAAAGTAAGTAAGTATTTTTAGATTCACTTTCATCCATAAAAAAGTCAAAGATCATTTTCTTTTGATTCGCATAATTGAAAATTAGTAATATTTCAGTTCACAAATTACTTTTTCTTGATTTCCGGATAAATTAAACGATTTGCACTATATACCATTCGATAGAAATTTTCAAAAAATCTTATTTGGAGAAAAAATGATATCGTGGATAATAGGCCTAAAATTGGCCCCACATTTTTTCCTTTTAGATATTATATTTCTAGTCAGAGTCAAAAATTAATATAATATTCATAATTAGTATCCAAAGCTGAGTGGGAGAGCACATTTAAAAAAAGCTGTTAGCGCAATCCCTTCGGGATTAAAATGTGAAACACGGCTTAATTGCTAATGGTGATCCGAAAAAATTATTAATCTATATATTTTGAACTTTTTATTTCATTATACTTAAATGCGCCACCTACACGTGAATAACGGGAATAGGCCATAGATTTCCTGATATTCTAGCATTATGCGGTCGTCCACTGTACGATCGTGTCCACTAGTACTCAGCTAGATATATCATAACTGCTTCTCTATCTCCCCGAACTTGCTACCCGTTTGTGATAGTTCCAATGCCTGTCTCTTAGGGTGCGTCATAGGTAATTAACTAATTATAACGAAAGCGGCTGATTCATTAATTAAAATATATGTTGAGGAATCCAACTTCCTACCCTTAAGGCCTCAACATTCCTATCTATTCGCCTTAGACAAAGCTTATCTGTAACGATCTGTGATGGTGTCATCACGTCTCGGTAACGATCTGTGCGNGGTCCAAATTTCAACCTTTATACACTTCAACACTCCTTTCAAATCGTGTTTCACAAAATAAATTCTAACAAAATTAGTCTTGTAACCCTCCCCCTCTCAGTGTTTCCGACACTCTTTCCTTTGGTGATACCTATCGCACACAGTTTGGGAGAAAAACATGTTCTCCGACTCATATTTTGGTGCGGATTGTGAATAGTCTTGATGTCCCGATTGAGTTTAAATTATATCATCTTACTTTGCTTTCCGCTCCGTAAGTAAACTGGTATAAGACCTAATACAATGATGACAACAGCAAAAAATACTATTGTAGATGATATTATGCAACGACCAGCCATTGTGAGCCTTCAAAGAAACCTTTTTTTGTAGAGATCTCTTCTTGTTTTTTGTGTATTTATTTTCTGTTTCGTCTCGTCTACTAGAGAGCTATTTTTACCTTGGAAAAAGTAATAACCAACCAGTGCAGAAGAGAAAACGTATCTCTTTTTTGAAAAATTAGATCAAAGAGGAGCTGCGGAGTGTAAGTGGTTGAGACTCATTTCGTCGACAAATTACGAGTAATTAGTAAAATTTTTCTTTTCGTCGAAACTTTTATCGTCCTTTGGCACGTCGCAATTTAATGATTAAGACTATAAGATCGACGGTTAAGGAATAAATAGTAGACAGTAAGAAGCAATACTATCTAAAACGGAAGTTCCCATGTAGTCATATATGACTAATATTCACCTTTTATTTGTTTCAAAAGAATAACATCAGAGTATAACCATTAACTATTTTGAAAGACAGTAACTGCAAAAAAATCTACTAAAGCTAGTTATTATAATGGACTTCCATCATTATTAATTTGACGATTGAATGGAACACTGGTGTTTTAATTGTGTAATACAGATTTATTTTCACCGGAATCATAATTATGTACTGCTCTTACGAGAGGATTTTCACCTGCTTTTTAAGTAAGACGCTCACGAATTTCATCTCGCTTCTCACAAGGCCAATACATTTTCTTGTTACGAATACGATCACATAAATAACGATAGTTATCGAAAATTAAACATGGTTTTCCCGGTTTGGTTTCTATTATGGTACACATTATATCCGATGTAACTTTTTTCGGCCCAGAACGCGTCTCCGAGCGTTTGGAGGTGATGATGTTGTATGCGTCAGGATGCGCCTAGAATGCATCATTTTCGGGAGTGTAGACGCGCCAAGACTAGTCTGACGTGGGTGTGGGTGTTGATGATTTAGTAGTGGAGACTCACACTCACACCCGGCAACAAATCTACTTGAGAGAGTACTTGTGAGATTCCGATGCAATTAGATATTTGAAAATAAAAGTATTATATTCAAAGGATTTATTTGTTTGTCTAAGATAAGAGTGATCAAGTGACCAACACCATTAAGATTGTAATCTATCGTCTCGCAATTCTTAAGTGTTTAGAAGTAGTGTATAAGGAGAAATATAGCATTGATAAAAGTTAAATATTTTCAATAAAAGATCTGAAGACAACAATCTATTATCATAGACGTACTGCTCTACATGATTAATCTGTTAAATCAAACTCAATTTAATTATATTTTACTAATTCTGATGCAGTCTGCATGCTAAGCTCTGCTTTGTTTCTGATGTTTTTGAGAATAAAGTGAACGCGTTTATCTCATAACAGTATTATAAGTAGAAAAGTCAGAAAATATATATTAATGCGTTGTCAACAGGGACAAGTTTACGCACGTTTTGGTTTTCGAACGCGTTCACACGCCTTGAAATGTTGCATGTTGGACGCGTTCAAAGGGTGGATGTGGGTGTGGATGATTTGGTAGCGGAGACTCACACCCACACCCTTGTTCCATTTAGTCTTCCTTTCTCATTTTGTTTTTCGATTCGCTCAATTTAACATTATTATTTATACTTAACATTGATTCGACTGACAGATAAGCCTGTAGTACATATCAATCAACGAAGCAGCCCGCTTCAACTCACTACTATTATATATCGATAAGGTCAAAATCACTGATATTGATTATTCACCGAAATAGCCATTTTGATTAGTTCACGTTAATTATGTTAATTATCCGAAAAGAAATACTCTTTTCTTCCATCGTAGCCATGAGCAATATCACATGTGAATTTAACATTGCTTTATTTTATTTCCAAAGGAATGTAGTTGTTATTTAGGTAAACAAGAATACTATCATGGTCATGTTATTGCTTCACAAATTGTATCTGGAATTTTGTCGTCTTAGAATTCAATCACAATCAATTACATTATTACAAACAAGTTCTAGAAGAGTATATTAATATCCATATAAACATAGAACAGTAATCTATTTTGTTTAATTAGTTTTTTGTGTCTCAAATAAACGTACTGTCAATATGAATCATAAATAAAATAATGTTTTCAATCTACATATTATCGGTCATTATTCTTAATATCTAATTGCGAATCCTGTAAGACTCAAACATTTTGTCTGTATTTTGCAAATATATGGATACATTGATATATTTTTCTTTCTTTCTTTTTCTGTTGCAGAAATTTTAACACATGTTCTGTATATAGGATCGAATCATCGATCATATAAATAATATCTCCCGCATGTATATTGATATGAAGAACGTCTTCAATTAAATATATCAAGCTTTTCTAGATGAAAAACATATGTGATGAATCATATTATTGATGAAAACAAGAAATGACCAGATTGCCTTGAATATATTATTGCTGGTCGATGTCAGTTCCAATCAATCAACATGTGGTGGAATAAAAACTAATATTAGATAATAACAGTTAATACTGCGAAAGAAAATGCACAATGATATCAAGCATGCATCAGGAGATTTCATTCCTGTCGACAATCAATTATTGTCAAATTAGTACTATAGGTATTTTCCATGAACGATGATTTTGTTTTCTGACATTAAATAGATTCAATACTTGCGAAGCAATAGAAGAGATAATAAAAACAATTATGACAGTAAAGTGTATTAATCAAATATGCCAATCAATATGTTTTCCTAATGACATCGATCTGTCATACAGAAAGAGATCTTACTTAAATAGGCTTCACATAAATGATTTCATCTGCAAATGCTTTTTTTTCCAGAATAACAAGGTTTTTGCAGATTTGCTTTGGTTGCTCTTACTCTGAGTTAGTTGGGTCAAAAAAATAACTGTTATCTTTTCTAGTTATATCAATGCAATATAATAGAAAAGAAGTCGAAATAGTGTTTTTGATCTTTGCGACTGTATGTACTTGCAGATTTGAAGTTGCGAATTAAAAGTTCTTACCTTTTTATGATTCACTAGCAGAATGATTTATGGCATTGTTATTTTGCATGACAAGAAGTAAATTAGCCAAAGAGTATTAAAAAAAATCTCCTGTAATCTTAGCAACTATACTGAAGAAAGAAAAGCACATCATAAAAAATGACAGATGAAAAAAGAAGCATATCCAGATGAGTACGGATGTAATGTAGAGCGAAGAAGAACATATTCTTTCATTGATTGTAGTTAACGATTCTATTTTTAAGACGTGTATGGTAATAAAGATATCACAATTATGCAGCTTCTTTTTCTCTGCATGTATGAAATTGTTCCATGTGCCATCGTTTTGTTTTTGTGTTTGTTCTCCTATCTCTATTGTGTTTTCTTCGTCTACCGGCAAACTGATTTCTGACGACTCCTTCGAACACCATATATTTTCATAACATTCCATAACAAACAAGACTAATCGGCTTTGTTAGTATAAAGATAAGTAAAGAAGAAGAAAATAAGAACATTTCTCTGATGATTCAGCGCTTAGCAGCTTTTTCTGGACATATCTCTTCATTATACATCGGGCGTGATGCTCCCATTTATATTTATTCTCCGATTCTGTACGTACATATATACAAGCAACGAACTGTTGAACTCACTCTTATTTGCTCTGCTTTTCCCCCTCTTTTCTACGAACAACATAATCCGCAATGCAGCCATTATTCCGTTGGATGTGAACTTTCAATGAGAATACTTTACCATCACATACAATAAAAGTATCTAAAAGTTCTCGTGTTTTTTTTCTTCTTTTAGATTTTTCTTCAACTCAAGTTCTATCAAATATGGGTAACAAAGGTGGTAAAAAATCGCGATCATCTACTGAACTTTCTGATAAAGGTTATTTTTAATGTTATTCATATTTCTTTTTTTATTTTGGATTTTCTGATGTATAGAAATCGCTATGCTTAAAGCAAATACAAAATTCAGCGAAAGAGGTACGATATCTTGATATTTAATTTAAGATGATAAATTGATTTTTATTGATTTTCCAGAAATTCGTGAATGGCATGCTGTAAGTATCTGTCATATTTTGATAAATTACTTCTGCTAATTTTCAATCTTCAGGGCTTTCTAAATGATTGTCCAAATGGTAAACTAGATAAAAAGAAATTTATTGAAGTGTACCGACAATTTTATCCACAAGGAAAAGCTGATGCTTTTTGCAAGTAGATAAATATCTTCAGAATCTTATTCTAGTAGTTTTGAATTTTTTTAATTTCGTGAGATATGCATTTGCCACATTCGATGCTAATAATGATGGTACAATTGATTTTGATGAATTCCTTTTGGCAATTGCTGCTACTAGTCAAGGCGATGTGAATGATCGTCTAGAAGTTGCATTCGAAATGTACTTTGACAAGATATCTTCCTTAAATTATATTACTTTTTTTTCAATTAAAAGGTATGATGCATCAGGCGATGGACAGATTGATCAAAAGGAATTGGCTAAAATGATTTTGGCTATGGTAAGCAATTACTATTTATTTTTATATTCAGCTAACGTATTCTTTTTTTTAGTATGATCTACTTGGTGAAACAGATCGCAAAGGTGATCGTGATCCAAAAACGCGTGCTGCATATATTATTGCTGAACTCGACGTAGGTGGTGATAAGAAATTAAACAAGCAAGAGTTTATTGCTGGGTAGGAATGATCTCGATTAATTATTCTCATTTGATTTGATCTATTTTTGTTCAATTAGATGTAAAAATGATCCAGTTATTCAACGTATGCTTGCACCAAATGTTTAAAAACAAATTCGTCAATATTCGAACTTTATCAACTGATTCACAGAGTAGAATAATATTGTATTTTGTGTCTCTTTTTTTTCTTGAATAAACAAAATTCAGCACATTGCATAGAATCTTATAAACGAATAACGAGATAAAAGCCATACAGGAGAAATTTCTTCAGGTATTAATAAGATGTCAGAATAATTAAATCGATCGTTTATATTTCATTTAAATCTCTTTCAAGTTTAAGTTCAACTTATCATCTATCATCTTAGATAATCAGAAATGCACAGGTCCACCACGCTATTTCTGATGGTGGGTGTGCATGTGGGTGAATGAAGAAAAGACGCACACCCACACTCTTCAAAATATATTATTTATCTTTCAAGAATCTCGAAGGAACAGTTTTCCGAAAATTGTTTTGTTGAACACATTCAAGAAGCAAGGTTTTGGTAAGTTTTATTTTTGAGTCGTAGGACACTGCCACAACAACAAAATTTCGTCTGAAACTGACGAGTTCCAAAATCTAATAGGAATTTAGCAAAAAAAAACTATCGAAGCAAGCGTGAATAATTTTATTATTCGTATTGAAATATGAGATGGTTACTTTCGCTTACGGCCATACCACGTTGAATACACCAGTTCTCGTCCGATCACTGAAGTTAAGCAACGTCGGGCTCGGTTAGTACTTGGATGGGTGACCGCCTGGGAATACCGAGTGTCGTAAGCTTTTTTTAGTTTACATATATTCAATCGCTTCGAGAAATTTTCGACTTTCCTTATACTTTTTGTTCCATATCACTTACTAGAAAAAACAGCTTAATTCTATTAGACAACAGCGTATTCGATCAGTATTATTAGATTATTATATAACGCAGTTGAAGATGGTAATAATTTACTTTGGTCAGGAAGAAAGCAAATACCTTCTATATTACTGGTACATTCGCCTCCTCGTTAAGTCATAGGTACTGTCAAGAGTTAAACCTTCATAGAATCATATGCGTCTATAAAAATTGAAAAGAAAATGATTGATTGAACGAATAACGGACATAACAAAACAAATATATTTCTTTCTTTCTTGCATTTTTTTTCAATAAAGGACAGATGTTGAACAGAGAATTCTTTATTTTTCTACTGTGTTTTACACGCGCTCAGTAGAATCTAGACAGACGGCATAATCGAACAAAAGCACATAAATAAATATCTCCTGATTATGTAATGAGAATTAAGAAAATAACCGTTTGAACTGGAATATTTTCATTTTCTAATAAGTAGCTATGAGCACGACATTGATCAATATTTATATTTTACGTCATGCTTTTAAACATTATTCTTTCATTTTTACTTCAAAGCAAAAGTCAATTATTTCTATTCGGTAATGCGTGAACGCATGGTAACTGAGTAGGGCATTAGAATAGAAGTCTTGATTTCTATCATCCGTCGTTTGTTTCACGCATTATAACACAATCCGATTCGAATATTCTTTTCATTTCATCTGCCTGAAAAATCACGATGGCCCATTTCTATTGAAGTATCTATTTTGCTTTCGATTTCCATTCAGTCAATATTTTCATTTCCTTTATGACGATCATCTTTTGTCAAGTGGCAACATAGAATTAGATCTCACGCTAACTATGATCTATTTTTCTTGTCTCATCTCGCTTTATACTATTAAGCTTGAATTTGTATTCCATTGTTGTCATGGCTGTATTTGTCTGTTTTTGTATAAATCAAATTAGAATACTAATTTGCAACATCATTCTAGATATATATTTTTGGCAACCAACAACAACACCGAAATAAAACAAAACAAAATCGTATAATGTATCTCAATTTCAGGTAGAACTATCATGATAGTATTCCGTTTACTATAGAAATCAAATGCGGATGATGAAAGCGTCAGGAATAAAATGAATCGATCTGAAACTAATATGCTGATCATATTTGAACTAGTAGAAGAAGTAGAAGGCGAAAACAAAGCTAAATGAAGTCTATCTTTATTAGCGTTCGATTAGAAAATTTTCTTTCGGTTTGTTTGTTTTCCTTAGATAAAAGATATTCTATTTGGATCACAAGATTTTATAAGAAAGAAGAGAGAAAGAACTAGGTATATATATTTGCATTTTGTTTTCTTAATAGATTAGTTCTTGTTGTGCATGTTATAGATGAATGTAAGAGTAATAATGATCAAATGCAAAGAGCATGTTTTATGCTCTAGTCCAGAATGTGTTCTTGTTTTTGTTTGTCGCCACAAAAAGAAATTCCTTTTTTTTTATATTATTATCAAAGATAGAAAATATATAGAAAAGAAGAAAAAAGGTCGCACGACGAATGCCGATACCAGTGACTTTAATTAAAGAGAAGCTCTACCGCTTCTCGACTATTTTTCTATTTTGATCTCAGTTAGTTTGTAAGGAAAATAAAACTTTTCATCATCCATAGGTTTAGTCATTATTGTTGATTCTTTGTTTGCTAACACTGATTATATTAAGATAGTTTTTTTAGGTTAATTCGAGAAGAATTATATTCATTGTTATTTTTACTTATTGATAGTGGAAAAACAAAATTTTCTTTTTTTAGAAACATTCATATAGATAGATTTTTGTGTTTTATAGTTTATAATTTATAGCATGCTCGATGAGCAGTCACCAAGAAGACTTTTACATGTCAAATGATAGTTTCTCAATAGGCTCAAATAATGTGACGACGACAATACCACCGTCATTGTCGACACTACCTCAGCGAATTTCCTTTGTACTTTTTCCGTGTATGGTATTAACCGGCGTGATATGTAATACATTGATTTTCATTATCATGCGACGTCGGCGTATGTGTCATCTTTCGACATGTTATTATATGGGTATATTAGCAATCGCTGATACAAGTGTACTTCTACTTGGTCTAACTGTTATGTGGTTTTATTTCTTAAATCGAAAATGGTCATTACTATTACAATCAACATATGGCTGTAAATTAATTTCACTTTTATTCTATTCTGTATCACACATAAGTGTTTGGATAGTTTGTATGATGTCTGCTGATCGTTGCACTGCTATAATACGTCCATTACATGCTAGTTCAATATGTACAGTTCGACGAGCAAGAATATCTGTTTGTCTTCTTGTTCTATGCATGGTCTTGATTAATATTCATTTTTTATTCACACATTATTTATCATTAGAAAATGAATGCACATCCTATAAAGAATATGAATTTTTTATGCGTCGCATATGGCCATGGATAGATGCAGCTGTCTATTCAGCATTACCATTTATACTGTTATCAACAATAAACTTAATTATTGTACATGGCTTATTTCGTGCACGTCGTTCAACATCAAGTTTACAACTATATCAAACGCAACGAGCACGAACGAAAAATAAACTATCAACATCAATGTCAAGAAAATTGACAACGATGCTTTTAGCTGTAACAATCTTCTTTTTACTAACTTCGTTTCCCATGGTATGCTTACAAATTTATACAAATATAATAGATCCAAATACTGATTTATTTACTCAAAATTATATTAAACCTCTATGTGAAACATTACAATATTCAAATCATTGTGTAAGTTTGTAATTTTAGAAGAAGAAAAAACAATCTATTAATTAATCATTGCTTTTTTTTTTGAAGATTAATTTTTTTCTTTATGCTATTACGGGTAAAGCATTTCGCCATGAACTTAAACGGTTATTTCATAGTATGGCAATTAAAATGCGTCTAACAAAAAGTACAATACAAACACCATTGGATAAACGCCAATTAGGAAATCATTTGAATGATCGAATGAATGAACATGATATTGGTAAACAACGAGTATCACGAACTACTAAACGACTTTTACAATGGCAAACATCGATTGATCGATGCGCTAATAGTGGAACTAGTGTTAAACGTAATCTATAATCGGAATAAATTCTTTCGTTGTTGAAATAAATAAAAACAGTCAAAACATCCTGACTTCGGATGACTCTGATCAAGTAAAAAAATGCGAATCGTTCATTAAGCTACCGATAGAAAAACAAAAATCATAAATCGTGTTCACTGCAATAAACACATGAGATATAATTGTATTTCCATGGATAACTCATAAGACGTCAACTTAATGAACAATTACGTGAAATAGTTGAAGTTTAAAGTTCATCTTAACGTCATACTCATTGAAGTGCTAGTCACTTCATTTTCTTTTGATTGATGTTCTTTTTTTATCGCATCCATTGAGCAAATTTCAATTATGGCTTAGAAGACAGGTACTATGAGCTATTCATTAAATTATTCAAAAGCCGCTTATATTAAACCATTTATTTGAGAACATGTTTTAGGAATTATTTTTGTTGACAGAAAAAGCACGTACTTTGAATTCATCATTTTCAATGATCAATATGTCACAAAAAAGGAAAATTAGATAAAATGTGACTTACACGATATTTTTGCTCACTAACTAATATTACAATGCCAAACAGATGAGACGTGAATGTTCTTTCACCCTGGTGAACCTAATAACATTTGCCTGTTTTATTATAGCTTCAGTAACATGTTGTCTACACTTTCAGAAATTCCCATGCGGAACATTTCATGATAATACATATAGACATAGAGAATTGTTAATGTCTTCATGATAGAAGTAGTCGAAAAACAGAGAGTATTTTTTTTGTATTTCGCTGTTTTAATATTTACAAAGAAAAATTCATGTCACGACAAGCTGTTGTCAATAGAATGCTTTTTTTAGTGCTAGTTCCAGATCACTCTGCAATAGAAAGTAGGAAGTATACTAAATAAGAGACATGCAATGGAATTGATTGACATTCATTATTCATTTTCCAAAAAGTGAATTAATTCATCGCTTCCGCATATTTTAACATTCATAGTTTATTTTTTTGAATGAACCGTTGAATAGTACTAATAACAATTGATAAGAAACACAATCTATGCATGGCTCATGTTTATTTTAAAGGGTTTGCAGAATTTACAGTCCACGGATTTACTGTCTGTTGATTGCCTCGAAGAATAGAAGTGAACAGAAAAATATTTATCGCAATCAACTATGGATAGTTAGAAAAAGAGAATTCAAGCAAATATATGAGGAAATAACAAAGAGAATAAGGAATTGATTAATAAATAAACCAAAAAAGATGAATGAACGTTCAACCTTTTTGTTTTTCAATCAATTGGCAGTAAATCCACGGACAGTAAATCGTGTACACGATTTTACAGATAATGGCGACAGCATTTTTTATCGACTTAATAAATCTATTCTACCTAGTCGTACTGTCCCAGATCGAACAGCCCGGCCTGGAAACGGCCGGTACCGATTAGTTCCGTTGATTTTGTGGCAGCAGTATTCCGGTTGGAAATTTTTCGATTTTTTTCCGGTGATTTCCGATCAATTCTTGACGGAAAAATCCGGCCGTATTTTTCACCGGAATACTGCTTCCATGTTCCAACACTTTCCCGTGATTTCCTGCAGGGTATGGTGACTTTCCCGCATATTCCCTGGAGTATCCTACGGGATCCAGTGACCGGAATGTTTTGACAATTAACAAATAGTATTTTACTCATGAAAAAGTCACAAGCTGCTTAATATAATCGTCTAGGGAGAATAATTATTTTAAGGACTGATTTGATTCGTATATATTGCTGTGTTCGGTGATTATTTACAGAGAATATTTCTCACTATGTTTAGTTGAGTACAGTATATTGACAATTTTTATGCAATGAAATATACCCTTGAGATACTCTCTAGTTGTAGAGCATTAATTATCATATAGATTATGAAAACCACGGTACATCAGCGGTTTTGTTCGATGAACTGCAGTAAAATACTGCAAATCGCTAGCTTTTTTCCCGGTAAACCGCAGCTAACCGACACTGTTCGAGCCTTGATCTCAACAATATTTGTTTTAAATTTAAAAATAATTATTCAATTAACCTACTTTATTTCATTTAAAAATATACAATCACGCAAAAACAAAATATACATAAAAAAAACAAAAAAATTATTTTAAAACATAAATATGATATAATTAATATAAAAAAAAAATAAATTTAGCATTTTAAAAACTTAATCTAAAAAAGAAATATGAAAAGAATAAATTTTAAAAAAGTGTGAAAAGAATAGATCTAAAAATATAACAGAAAATTTAATCTGAATTTTTTTTAAACAATAATTTAGAAATTAAATTCAAAAAATGATCTGAAAATTAAATATAAAAATCAATCCAAAGAAGAAATGAATCTTAAAATGTTAATAAAAAAAAATTCATTTTCGAAAAATGAAATAAATGTGTAAAATTATCGGTAAAAGCAATTATAAATTGAATCTCTTACTATTTTCTTGATTATTTTGTCTAACCACGCGAGCAAGTAAAATAAGCGAAAGATTGACGAGCACATGTATATATACTTACTTCTGTTGTCGTTCTATCCCCCATTCGCCGTCGTTTCTTCGCCGGAAAAAACTATCGGTAGACCGCGGTTTACCGCTAAAACTGATCCGGCTTTTGCAACATGAGATGGTTGGATAGAGTCGGATGAGTAGATTATGAATATCAACTTTAAGATGTTTCTAGGCTTATATTTTGGCTTAAAAATTTTCAAACTACAAACTGCACCTGAAAAAGTGAATATTTCACTTTTTTAGAGAAAATTCGAAATTTACCTAGTTTAACAATGTTCTAGGTTTTGGAAATAATCATCGTCAGATTCAGCATGAAAATTTGAATCTACTGATGTAACGTTGACCAGTAAAAAACATAAGTTTCATGTTTGAGGAGCTCAACTAGGTCCCCATATAGACACTTTGAAATTGATGTCTCGCAAAATCGCCAACTATTGTTTTTGAAAGCAATTTTCGGACTTTCTTATATGATTCGAGCCGTCAAGCGATAGCGAACAAAAGTATATATTAAGTTTGAAAAATATTGTTTCTTCTTTGAGAAAATAGATTTTTACTAGATCGGTGGCTATAGGCTAAAGTACTGTACTCTTATTTCCGAATTTCGACTACCAAAACTCAATTTTCATGTGAAATAAACATCATACTCAGAATCAGTACGCAAAACTACACTGACTATCACAAATTTTATCAAAAAATAATTTTCATCAAAATTCCAGCCTACTCCCTCCCACAGTATTTTTTTCTTGATTCTGCCCTGTGGTCCACCACAGGTAAAATTTTGATGAAAATTATTTTTTGATAAAACATATTATAGTCAATGTAGCTTTTCGTGGTGATTCCGATTATGATGTTTATTTCACATGAAAATTGAGTTTTGATAGTCGAAATTCGGAAATAAGAGTACAGTACTTTAGCCTATAGCCACCGATCTAGTAAAAATCTATTTTCTCAAAGAAGAAACAATATTTTTCAAACTTAATATATACTTTTGTTCGCTATCGCTTGACGGCTCGAATCATATAAGAAAGTCCGAAAATTGCTTTCAAAAACAATAGTTGGCGATTTTGCGAGACATCAATTTCAAAGTGTCTATATGGGGACCTAGTTGAGCTCCTCAAACATGAAACTTATGTTTTTTACTGGTCAACGTTACATCAGTAGATTCAAATTTTCATGCTGAATCTGACGATGATTATTTCCAAAACCTAGAACATTGTTAAACTAAGTAAATTTCGAGTTTTCTCTAAAAAAGTGAAATATTTACTTTTCTGGTGCAGTTTGTATTTTGAAAAATTCTCAGTCAAAACATTAGTCTAGAAACATCTTAAAGTTGATATTCATAATCTACTCATCCGACTCTATCTAACCATGTAATAATAAAAGGTTTTTTTTTGCTCGACTTTTCACCTTGGTGCACCCTAAGTCAAATTAAGTGATTGTATCATTCATTTTTGTTGTTATCTTATAAGTGATGCTTTTTATTGTATTAGACACTTTTCTTGTTCTTTATTAGAGGTCGGCTGGTTCAGTGTAAATCGGAAGAAGTGTTCAAACACTTTTGTTTTTTTTCTACAGCAGTTGATCTCTCCGAACTATATCTGATTCAAGTTTTAGAAAAGCACTTTCAAAGATAAACATTTAACAATAGCGCACTCCAGTACAACAAAGATCTATTTTGTTATAAAAAATATCGTTCTCTGATCATAATGAAATTTTTCGAACAGCTCACTCATAGAAGTTGCATTCTGAAAACAGATTCGTTGCCAAAATCAGAATATTTTCGTTTTTGTAATACAACATGTCGTTCATGATTGGTTGATGCTTTGTAATTAAGGACAAAGTAATCCTGTATCCAATACATAGTTTATTTTAGACAGCAATATTGTCATATTCGATAGCATGATGATATACTTAAACGATGATGATTCTAGTAAGACTTCGATATTATCGAGTTTCATTGAAAATTTACACTTACAGAAAACTTTTCGAACGGATTTTATACATTGAATGAGAATATAAATTCACTAATCCATGTCGATGAAGGTAAATATTTGATTTTCATTAGGACTATCAATATCATAATTCATAAAGAAAACTGACTTATTTTTCTTACCCTACACATCTAGATTTATGACGAAGTTCGACTTTTTTTATCATACTCACTCGAGTCTTTGTCTTGGTATAGTTGTTGCTTGTTAGTATATTTGAATGCAGTTCGTGCTAGTTTTCAATAGAGGACTACTTTGATTAATATAATGTGCATTAAATACAAACATTCTTCACACACACGCACACGCGCAGCGATGAATGATCGAGTAAGCACTGAGAATCGTATTTCAATTGAAAAGACGAATACCTTTCAGAATGCAAACGTCAATGGCCAATGAAATATCGATCATCGTGAATTTTAAGAATGACGTCGTGGTTCTACATCAATTCTCAAATAAAAACAGGCAGATGGATGAAACGAAGATATCAATAGAACATAGAAAATGTTCGAATGCGAAAATTTTTTATTATCATTAATACTGTGTGTATCTGTGAGTTTATAACACAGATTGACTAAACAGAATTGATTACATTAGAATTCTATTTCGTAATATAAATATTTATATTGCTGATGGGAAAACTTGACCTACAGTTAGATTCAAATGACTGATATCTTTTGTGCTCTCTATTTAATTTCAATAGCTTTTTTTTATCATAGACTGGATCTGCTATTCATATTCGCTCCATTTTCTTTGCAATACACAAAGACTAGAGAAACAATGTGAAAAATGCAACGCAGCCACACAAAATTAAAGACGGAAGCTACATACTCGACTATTTCATGTGTTGAAAATTCACTGTGAAGAATAATTTCAGTTCTAGTAATGAAGGGTGTGAGTGTGAGGCTCCGCTATCAAGTCATCCACATCCACACCCAGCACATATTTAGATTGAAATCAATAGATGAATGAATTTGACTGAATTTTATTGCCGATTCTGTCACATAAAATCTTTACAATATATTGTTACTCTAACTAATTTTGATTAATATTACATACCTAATGCAATACCAATTACTTTTGGCATAAACTCCACTAAAATCGGATTACCACCATGGAATACAATTAGAATGAGCAGACTTTAATTGGTCATATTTTCGTCTGCGTTTACTCTATCTGACAGTAAGATGGCTAACATAGGAGTTAATATTAGATTTGTATTTTCTCACGTTTTGTGTAATATTTAAATATTTGTAAACAATAGCTACCAAAAATTATAAATCCTAGGGCTAATGACAGCATCTTTTACATCGAACTAATTGCTCGTCTCTTTTATATTTTTGTCTAAATCGATTGACACTTGATAATAGTTTGAGATAGATCATCATCTTATATAGCCATGTAGAAGTACAAAAAGTGCATAGAGATAGATTAGAAAAATATTTCTGATTAATTATTGATTCGAAAGGAATCTATTATAAGAAATAAAAGCTCTAAAAAAGAAATGATTTCGTGCATCCGAGCCCGTAAATTGAATTACAACCTGTGCGGAAACTTTACAATAAGCATCAAGTGTAATGAATTCTTTTGTGTGTTAACGTTGAAGCTCGTAACCAACCTGCGTTGATCTGAATCGTTTGTAATCAATTTTATGTCTATAATGATTCCATCATGATTCAAGTACATCAAAGTTACTGATTGACAGAGTTTGTGTGGTTCTGTCATTTTGTAATGAAGTCGTTAAACTCTACAAACAATTTCATTTGAATCTTGGTCGAATACTCAACAACTTTGGTGAGATGTTTGTCTAATATATTTAAATTTTGACAGGAAATTCGAAAAAAAAGACAATATTAACAATGTAATTTATTTGCAATTCGTTAAAACTAATCGTGACCTTTTCTACTCCTCACTCTACTCAATGCATAATGTCTGTCAGATACATGAATTTCATGTTAATTCGAGAAGAACGAACACATATAGTTTCACTTCCGTTCTAAAATGATCTCGCAGAAGACATCAATAAATGATAAACTTTTCCGTCGTTTCTTATTATTCAGCAAAGCATATCAGATGACATTTTCGTGACAGCGATAGGGATAACTACAATCTCTTTTGTTATATTATTCCAAATATAGAACTGGCAAAAAGTATTTGACGTCTAAATAGCAGAGAATGTGAATTTTGTGAAACCTTTTTGAAGAAGTAGAGAAGGACTGATAAGTTCCTTTTCTTAAGCATCTCTCTAAATGAGCAGCTGTCTAATTCGAGTTCGAATATAAATGGAGAAAAGAAAAAGTTAAAGTAAAACTAAATCTAGGAATAGATTTAGTTTTTGTTTAACTTTTCGATATATGCGACATATGAATACATATATACCCTTCACCCACACCCACACCCAGAAGTTTTCTTCGTATGTTCTAAAAATCTGAAGACTTGATTCAACAGAAGTATTTCTATTATTAGAATAGATATTTTCTATCTCTAAACATGAATCACCAGATGATAGAAACTGATAATCTAGAAGCTTTAGAGTTTCATAAATTCGATAATATCTATTTATTTCCAGGAAAGCAATATTATTCGAGAAAAAAAAACGTTCAAAAGAGAATGTGATCCGGCAAAAAAGAATACCCATACTCTCCTGTAAATACTTGGCCATTCACATTGTATACTATAAATAAACCATATAATAACACTAATACCAATGAATAAGAAAAATAATATAATTATCTAATAAATATAGAAACGAGCCATTCCTTTTTTTATGCCTAAAAGATACTGTTCACAATATTCTCGATCAAAAACAAAGAAAACAAATCTTTGTAAATCTACGTAATAAATAAAATTCAATTGTATTTGCACAACGAAAAATATAAATGAATATCAAGAGAATATTGTTTTCTTGATTAACGTCGAACGATCCTGAAATTGATAAAAACAAAAAAATAAGATTTTAAAGTGGTAAAAATATAAATGATTTCATTGTGTATCGTTCTTACTTTGCCTTCAGAATTGTATAAAATTGTAACAATATTGGGACCTATATGCCATAATGATACAGTTGAAGCCACAAGATCATCATTTATTTGTTCAGATTGATTGATTTTCGTCAAAATCTAATGGAGAATAGATGAGTATAAATAAACGATCAGAAGTCTTTGGTTACTTTTAGTGATTGATTGGATTTTAAGTGAAAATTATCAGGAAATTTAAAAAGTAAATTCTCTCCTTTATCATTTTCTTGACGTATCGTCCAATTAGTAAGATCAATATTCTTCGATTGACTTGTATTTTCAATGACGATATAATTGCCTTGTGGATTACAATGAGCAATAATAATGGGACCTTTGGCAGATTTAAGAAAAGTTATACGAGATTCAAGTGCTATAGAAAGAAAATAACACAAGCAGTTAAAAATATTTATCAAACATAGACATTTTTCTTAGTAACATACGTCCATCAGAGTCTTGTTTAACTGTTGTTACTGTTTTCACTGTATTCAACCAAGGTGGTAATTTTTGTCGATCATGTTCATAATTGATCAGTGATGATGAACTTTGTCGACCACTTGAATCTGATATGTCAGGTAGTGGTGGTTCGCTGTGCGTCGACGGCGACGCTAACTCATATGGATTTATTGAATACAGATTGGTGTCAGTAGGCGTTGATGTTGATAAACGTAATGCTATGTCATCACAATCAATTTTCATTGTGACAGGTAATGAAACACCACGTTCACGTTCACGTTCACGTATAAGAATTATACGTTCGTCGGGACTTGTTTGACGCTGTTCTTCAAATGATTTTATTTCGTGTAATTCATTATGTTTTTGACTTTTCGATATTGATGACGGGCATGTATGATAACTATCCGATTCAGATGCATTCACTGGCAATTCACTTAAGGAACGAGTTAGTAAATCTATTGTGTCGGGTCGTACTGATGGTACATGACTGGGTAACATGTCTGTACGAGTTATGGTTGTTGCTTGATCCTGTCGCTGTTGATATGATGATGGACGTTTTGCTGAACTTGATGAACGAAGAGCATTCTAAACAAAACATGAAATCAATAGTTTCTTCGAGTCATTTTCCTAAAGATTTCTGTTAAACACAATAAAATCAACGATTGATATTTTCTCTACCGTTGCAACACAGTATTAGTATATATTTAAAATGAAAATTTAAGTAATTTCAACGTAACCTACTCGATTTCCGCTTTCTCTACATTCATCATCTGCATCGTATTCTTTTGGTGAAGTTGAACTGCAAGTATTTGCAGATGGCCGCCATAAACCAGGATATCCAGGTATAATATAAACATCATCTAATTGCCGCCTTGATGATGATGAACTATTATTACTTGATGGTGTTGTTGCACGATCATAACTTGGATACGCATCTTCATCGGCATTTGAATCAGTATTTTGTTCAGTTAATTTATCATTCATATGATCAATATTAGTTAAATCATTTCGATCAAATTCTTCGTCGACATCATCATCAGTACTACTCAAATCTAAATCTATATCTTTGTTTGCATCTAATTCATAAAGTTTCTGAGTAAATAGATCATCAGTATATAACGTTAAATTTTCCGTTGCATCAAATTCAGTTGAATCATCTTCTTTCGTCATTGATAGATTAGTAACAACAATTGGTTCATATACGACATATTCGTTTAGATTCTTATATATAGGAATGTCATCTGCTATAGGTATAGCTGGTAAACGTTCTGCTGACGAATCACCCATTTGATGTATGACATAGGAAACATAACGATCAGAACTAGTAACGTGCGAGGAAGCTGCTGAACTAGAAGATCTTTCTGATGGATGAAGTATTGGTGAAGCCACGCCAGAAAGTGCAATGCTATGATTTCTTAAAGCATGAATGAGTTCGAATGAATTAGGTTCAGTATTTGTGCTCGATGATTCGCAAAAATCATCTGATCGCTTTGTTGACAATTTTTCGATTTTAGTTCTAATTGATGTCATTGAGTCGCATTCGATTTCACTCGGTACTTGTGGCGTGACATTAGCAATCTAATTATACAAAATAGTTGTTTACGGTGAATTTAAGCGATAGAATTTTTACTTGTGAAGATATTGAAACTATACGGTTATTGCCCGCTAGGGGAACTTCATCAATATTTTGAATGGTGTTTTGTTGAAGTGTTGATACGACAGTATGAATGGTATCATCAATCAATTGATGAATAATATTGGAAATAATTACATCATCTTTGCTAATATCCAAAGTTGGAACGTTCTGAAAGAAAAATTTGTTATTTGTTTTTACACTTGAAACAAGAAAATCATATTATACTCTCAACTGTTGCAGCAAGTAAGTGATTTTTTCTCGTCAAATCGATATCCTACTATGCATATCTCTGTTGAAGATACATTTATATTTACCTGTGGTAATGATGTCGCTAAACCCATGTCTAGATCATTTTGATGTTCTGAATAGGCATCAGATATTTTGGTAGTTACAATGTGTTCGTTTTCTTTGGATGATTGGTTTCTTGGAGCTTCTACTGGCATTATTTCTTCATCAAAATCTCGATCGTTGATAGATATGAACTCCTATATCAATAGGACAATTAAAATGAGCATCTTTCACCGAGTTTAACTTACCTGTTTGATTATTGGTGAATTTCCTTCAGTCAATGAAGAAGAAATAGCATGATCAATCTTTTCGACGACCACGTCCCATGGTTGAATTTGATAGGTAGTTTGTTCGGAATTAGTAGGCTCCTAGTTTTTAAAATTAAGTTATGATTTAGCTTTCTGAAGCATTCCTTACTGGTGTTTCAGATTGAACCACACTAGTGGTTAATATTTGTTGATCATTTTGTATGTCTGCATTAGGTAAGGAACTTTCAGTTGTTTTATCTTCAGCAGATAGTAAAGTCTAAAATTGTATGTTTATTGAATTGATTTTCTTCGTCAGAAAAAGAACTCACTGGTATTTCGAGAGATGAAGATTCAAGCAAAACATTCTCTTGATTTTCTGTTGATTGTACGATACTATACTCGGTATTCAAAATAGATTGGTCCGTATTTTGTAAAAATGATTTTACTGATTCCGGCTCGTCTATTGAATGGTCATCAAGATTTTTCATGCAGGATGATGATGATGATGATGGCTTTTGAATAGTAAAATCCTAGAACAAAAGCTACATAAATATACCAGAAACTTTGAGCTAGATTTACCGTCGTATCTTCGACTGAATTAAGTTTGCTTTGTTCTGCATGCACAGCCGATAGGATTTCTTGTTCTTCTCCTGGTTCAGTGGATAGTTTTGCTTGTAGAGTCAGCGTGGCTGTATCATGAAGGGTTAGTAATTCTGTTTTGTCGCTCTAAAAAAAGTAAGAGGTTCATGAGAATATTATCCATCATCAACGAGTTACACCTTACTTCTTCAATTTGAATGTCATATGCATTAGATTTTGTTTTTGAATTTGAAACATCGTTGGTTTCATTTTGAGGATTTGATGGTAGAGTTGCACCAGTCTCTTGTACATGTGATACAGCACATGGAACTGTTTCAATGTTTTCATCTAATGGACTCTATTGAAGATGAAGATAAAATTCAATGTAGATAACAATAGCTAGTTTGGCTTACTTCTATAATTTGATTTTTTTCACCTTGATAGACATCACTACTTATATAACAAGTACTTATTGAATTTGAAAGTACATCAATTGGACTCATGACAGTGGATGATGATGATGATAAAGACATACTTGCCATGGTAGCACTTGAGATATCATCAATAAGTTGTGTAGAAATTTTCATTTTATTTGATTCTATTTCTTTGATTTGTTGATCGATATCTTCTTGGTCAATTATATTTGAGATGAAAATCCATTCTTCTTCATCAGAAATCTTATTTTCATTAGTAATATCAATACTGACTACACCCTGAGCACCCGACGGACTAGTTATGTGTTGTTGATCACTGGATTGTGACTCAATTAATTCTGATGAGGAACATTGTTTGTTGGTAGAGTCAGAAAACTCTGTTGATGTTTCAGGTAGAGTAGAAGATTCCAGTTGTTGTTGTTCAATCACCGCTGTTTGCAATTCTGTAGAATATGGTTCATTGAATAGAATATCTTCGCTGTCAGATGTACTCATTTGTTCTTCTTCGGTCGTTGGTGATGTACTTGAGATTATCTGTTCGTTGCCAGAAGTTATGGTTGAAGCTGTCGATCTAGTGATTTCTTCCGTGAGACTTTGATAAGATAAATTCTCATCATTTTCGTTGTTCTCGACACTATTATCTTCTATCACATTTTCTGCATTCGTTTCGCTCAATATTGCCTCATCATAGGACTCACTTGTTTCATCACATAAATCTTCATCGTTGAGTATGTTAGATGATAGGTCTGCTTCTAATTGTATGAATTCATCATTATTTGATCGAGTTTCATTTATTGACTGCATGTCGGTAAGTTTTTCTTCTTCTTTTTCGACTTTAAATAGTGAGCATGTCGATGAACTTAAATACTCATTTTCTATTCGTTTAGTGATGAATGATCTTTGTCTTCCATCGCTCAGTAAGGTTTCAGATTGTTCATAGTTTTCATTAGGTAAAGTAGAAGATTTTATGGTTTCACAATTATCTTCTTCATCGAATTGTGTTGACATTTCAGTATCGGATGGTGGATTTAATTCACTATCGAGATCGGCAATGGCTATAATAATTTTGTCATATGAATCGTCACGAATTAGATATTTTGCTTTTGTACGTGGCGGCGTATTCGTATTTGTAGCTGATTGACGTTCAAGACGCTTCTGACGAATAATTGGTGAGCCATCAGCTGTCAGTTCATAATCGAGTATACTCTGATTTGGACTCATACTGCTTACAGTCGAACTTAATGGGGATACGCTAGCAAGAATGTCTGATATTTGATTAATTAATGTATCATATTTATTAAGTGTCTTTTCAAGAATTTGAATAGGTTTCGAAGAAGCTGTTGATATGTCTTCATGATCAGTTTGTGGTTCAATATTCAGATTAGAAGATTCAGATAATGGAGTTATTATTGGCGATGGTTTTTCAATAGATAATGAACTGATATCTTCATCATGTTGAAATACAAGTGTCTCTGGTTTACTGCTGTGTCCTTCGGTTTTTGACGGTGATACTATTGTTGGTTTGTTGGTTTGATTTGGATAGACATTATTCGGAAATGATAATGGCGCATATTGAAATGATACGGACGGTTTATATATAGGTTTTGCGGATGGTGATGATGAATATGTTGGCAGAGGTTTATAAATCTGTTCATAGGAAAAGTCGTATTGAGAGGTAGTAGACATTTTAGATAAACATGGTTGCATAATTGTTGCGGCCGAGAAAGGCTGTGTGCTTGGAAAAGGTTCATATTTATTAGGAATATTCGATGTGTTGTTATTATTAGAACGAGTTCGGCTCGTTCTAATCGAAACATCAGAAGATAATGAACATGTCGTTATTTGTTCGAGTGAAATTGGTTTAACATGAGCAAATATGGGAGAAGTTAACCGATGAATGTTTTTAGCACGAATTAACTTAGGAGCAAAAGCAGCTAAATAGGCATCGGTATAGTCCGAACTAGGTGGTGTAAGGGCTTTCGGTGGATATTTCTCCCACATTGCACGTGTTTCGAAAAAAGTCTTTCTCTTAAATTTTCGATTCGTTAAATCAATTCCACTGCATTCATAAACATTCGTAGCATGTGTAGCAGGAATCCATGGAACATTTAAACAAATCGTTGTAGGTCGTTGTCGACGACCGCCATAGACTTGCTCAAAAATTGTTGATTCTTTTCGGTTTGAAGATAAGTTTTGAGATGGTGTACAAAAATTATTTCGATTCAAACCTAAAACATATTATGTTATTTGTGTTAATAAGAGTTATAGGTTTTGTTGCATCATGCATTTCAATCATTCATTTAGTCATGCTTTATGTAATGCTAAAACTCGGTGTATTTAAAGAAAATAAAACTAATAGACGAATACAACGCATATACGTATAAGTAAGCTAAAAGGAGGAATGTGAGATAAATTTTGTTTTCAATCAGACGAATAGGATCAGTTTTGTTTGTTTGAAAAGATCATAAATGTTCATGATATTCGTAGAGATCTTCCACGGACGAATCATAATCAGAGCATAAAGTGCATGAATCACTTTGTCGTCGAAATCGAACAAGTTCTTCATGAATAATTGCTTGTATTCGTTTGGCCTTGTTTTGACTAAAATGCTCAATTGATGTAGATTCTGTAATTACATGATATTTTCCACTGCCAGGCGAAATTTCACGATTAGCTGATGATTGAACTTGTGTTTCTATAAGGATATTCTTTTGTCTTTAGTTAAATAAAAACAACAATGACGACACAATATAGACATATTGATTTTTGTTTCCACGAGAATAATACCAAACAACATGCAACGAACAATAGAACGGATCCATGCATGATTTCTTACCTTGACTATCATGTGTTGTTGGATGAGATCGTAAAAAACTGGTTGATTCACCGCTACTAGCAGAAACATTAGCTTGATTCTGTTCACCAACGTTAGAAATTATTTGCTGTAAACCTTCCCTATAGAAAATATAAATACAGAATAATTTCTCTATGAATTGATTTCGGTAGTTAAAAGTTAACAAAAAATAAATAAATAAAAAGAAAGCATAAGTTCGTCGGCGTACCTGTTTTCTTCACCTTCAAGTAATTTTCTATAAATAGTAATTTCTGCATCGAGCGATGATTTCGTTGTAACAAGTTCATCGTAATTTCGTTCTAAATCTTCGAGACGAGTTCTTAATACGCTTATCTTTTGGTTTCTTTCGTCTTTTGTTCGAATATGTTGATCTCGTTCTTGTAAAATCAATTCTTCTAATTGTCGAATACGATTTTCTAATTCTCGATTCTAGATAATTCAAAATAGTAAAACAATTAATATTTCAAGTTTTGGCAAAAAAATAAACTTCACTCGTTGACTAATTGTAGTAATATCCTGTCGTGAATCTGCAACTAATGTTCGTAATCTTTTAATTTCTTCTTGTTCAAGAATACGTTTTGGTTTCTCAAGAGCTTGAGCATTTTTTATTTCTTGTACCTAAAATAAACGAAGTAAAATATAAATTCTACAAAGCAAACAAAAAACTCATGTTTACCGCTTGTGTCACTTTTATTTGATACCATAATTCAAGTTCATTTCGTTGTTGATCATTCAATTGTTCATAATCTTTGCGTATATTTTTTACAGCATTCGCTAATTCATGTTTGAAAAATCTCGTAGGATCTAATGTTGTATCAACAAAATTCAATTGCTTCATTTCTTCTATTTCATGTAGGTGTATTTCTTTTAAAAATTCAATTTCTTTCTCAAGATTTTGCTTTTGATTTTCTAACTGTACTCGTGTGATAATTTCGTGGTCTAAATCTTTTGTTATACGACAAATATCTGAAGTAAGCTTTTCAGATTCAATATAATACCGTTTTTGTTCATCTTCAAGATCAGCTAAAAATGAGTTTTACATTGCAAATACTCAAAAAATAAACATCGATAATAGAATTTACTTATACGACGACGAAATAGATCAAGATCTGCTTCGTTATCGAACAATTGTTTTTGTATTAATTCAATTTTCTTTTGATCAGATTCTCGCCCAGTCAATAATGATAGACATCTATTCAAAGAAAATTTTCTTTTTAAACTTACAGAACGGAATTAATTGTTTCATGCACCTGTCTTGAAGTTTGTGCGTTTCTTCTTCGGCATGTTTAGCTCGAAGTTCAATAGTAGCACAATCTTTTGTTGCATCATTGAGAATATGACGTCCTTCGGTTATTTCCTTTTCGTACACTTCTTTTACTTTGCTTGTTTCTGAGCCCCATTTTTTTCTAGAAAAAAAAAGCTTTTTTATTTAAATTTAAAAATAAAAACAACATGAAAACCAACCGTAGATGATCAATTTCAAGTTGATATTTCTTATTTTGAGCTTCCAAAAAGCGTACACGTTCAATATACGAAGCAAAACGATCATTAAGATGAGTCAGTTCACGTTTTTCACGTTGACGTTTTTCTCTTTGAAAACAAACAATAGGAGAAATTCAAAGTTCATCAAGAATTATCATCAGATCACACTTTTCATTCGTTTGCAATACCGTTAGTTGATTTCATCTAACATCGAATCTATACTAATAACATATCTCTGGAAACACTAGATAAAAAGCTGTAGCACAATGCCTGTAGGACTAATATATCAATCATGATATTACTGGCATTAATTAAAACGTAGAGAAACATTTTCAGAATATGTTTATGCACTATCACTTCGTATGTTTACAAAGAAATAATTGTTACAATATACAGAAATGTTAGTGTACTTCGTCTATTACAATAAAGTGCACATATCAGCTCTTTTACTTCAACCCGCCTGTTAGTTGATAAGTGTTTTTCATGCATTCGGTGGACTGTATGCAATCAATATAGGATCACTATTACTTTTTCTAAATTCTCTATCACCGTTTGTATTCCGCACCAAAATCTTACAAAATCGACCGTGATGTTAAGCTTCTCAACAGCAAGATAGTTTTGATCAATCCTATAGATGTCAAAGTAAATTTCTGTTTATCTCATCAATATTAAATCATTCGTGAATGTATGAATTATTTTTCTATAATGCTATTACTCAGAATCTTTTGGTTATAAAAGAAAAGCATATTTCATAATAAATCTTCTTATTGACCATTATTTATTGATAAATACATAAAAGTTCGACCAGAAAAAAAACTTTAATTTTATCTCGCAGGAGTTTGAATACAAAATCTTCGATAGAGATATTTCACCAATAAACAAGTTTTGTTTTCATCCAGCTAATGTTTTTTGTTGTCACTATATTTGATAGAGAAAAGTGTCTGTTACAATATATATATCATATCATATCCTAAGTCGTATCGCCTTCTACCGTAACAAATATTTTTGTCATTCATCATCATAATCTATCGCTCGATATTTATATACAACTTTTTTGTAATTAGATACGCATTGATCGTTGTCAACAATTACAATCGTAATGAAACATCATTCAAGGCAGACATTTTATCAGAAATACAATACACTCTCGCTACATAGAGTATACTACACAGCAGGACTTGTACTTCCTTCTACCCAGAAGAATATTATATCCGTATGAAACAACACAACGAGCATTACAAGATGATCAAACGATAAACACATGATTGTTCGATCAATGTACGTAATGATTGATGACTGTGATTAAAAAAAAAATCTTACTGAATTGCCATAACCACAGCTGATTTACCACTTGGTTCAAACGAAGTACCACGAGAATTAAAACGGTCTGTAACAATAGATATGTTTTGTGAAGATTTTCGTAATCGATCAAAAATGTTTGCATCATTTCCTGTTCGATTTTGTTTTTGATATGATGTTGAAGACGTATAACGATTATCCATTGAACAAGTCGCACGTCGTTAAACTAAAAACAAAAGAAAGCAAATCACAATATATCGATTGTTTAGTAAAATATTTCTTTAGATTATTAGCTTTGTTTCCAAACAACACACAACGCGATAATTGTAGATGGAAAAAATCTAAGTATTCGGATCGTTGTAAAAAATGAATGCAAAAAAGATTTCCTTTTTTGGAAACCTTTAAGTTTTATTTTTATAATAACAAGATCACATATGCACGAATAGAGAATAACAAGAGACGATTTTCCTTCGTCTTTTCTTATAATCGAGCGAATAATAATAGTCCATTCTTTTTCTTTTCTCTTGGCTTATGTTACTCGCAATTGTGAATAAAATAGGCAGAATCTATTGTTTCTATTACAAGTGGCATTTCCATCTTGTCACAGTCCAAAATAACAAGTTCAAATTTTGTCGATCTGAAAAAAACGCACACTTTGCACGAGTTTTTTTTCTTCTTCGCACGCATGCACTAATTCTTAAAAGAAAAAAACTTAACTATCAAGATCATTTGTATCGACATTAATCTATATTCAACAGAGATACGTATATACAATTCCGACAAGAATACAATCAATGTTATTCTACGATTAAACGAGAATACACATACGAAGAAAGAATCAAAGGATATAATTCATTGTCACGGAATCAATTGAATGATCTACGTCTATATTTATATAAGTGATTGAAAGCTTATCTTGATTTAAAGAAACGTACAAAAACTTGTATGTCAAGAAGTTCTAATTACTACGTAATATCTTCATTTGATGATAGACGATCAGGATGATGGATGAGATAAGAAAAAGTATCCTGCACAGTAGATATCCATTAAAAACTGAATAGTCGACAAAACAAGACAACAACATTTACTATTGAATACTTTCAAATAATTTCTGAATTTATCGGTAAACATAAACATGCAAAATACTCCAACATATGTATAGGTCAACATAGGATCCGATATCAAAAGTTAAGATATTTACAAAAACAAAAACCCTACAGGAGTATAGTATTTCGACAATACGTATAATTGTGGCACACTATTTCTCATAGATAAATTGTCTACTAATCATTATGACTAGAATATTAATATATCTGTAAAAATTAACATTCTTAAAATAATATATTGATAGATATTTGAGTATGTTCCTTCTCCAAATAGAGCCAATATTGATTATAGAACATGGATTATGTATGAATTAAAACGACATACCGTTAAGACATATGATCGATCAGCGTATACATACACCAATCGATTTTGTGTAAACGGCACCAAAATCGTGTCTTATATTTGCTTATGTAGTGCCGTCAAACAAGAGCATTTTTTTATTATATACTAATCATTGTACTAGTGGATGTATGCGACGTTATCAAGATAAAAACGGAAATAGATTATTGTTTCTTGTGTCTGTATCGAAGAGAAAATTTTCCGTACTCGAGCTTCCATTATCATCTTTCACGCCTGCAACTGTCCTTCTCTCTCTCTCTCTCTATATATATATATATATATATGAAGGAGAATAAACATAATTCTGTGTCTGTAACACTCAAGAAGACAATGTCTATCCACCCATATGGAAACGACAGAATTTGTGGTTATATATATTTTTGTTTATGATCTTCGATCAGTTATGTAGTATTGTTCGATAACAATTATTTTATGCGTTTCAATTTGTTTCAACGTGATAATGTTTATTTTTATTAATATAACAACAAAAAATTTATAAGTGATGTAGAAAACGGTGTTTGATGTTCAGAGAAAGATTTCAAAAAATTCAGTTCAGACATTTGCAGCTATTTCTTTACTATCTTGTAGTTGTATAGAAGATGAGGTTCTCTGATGTAAAAGAAGTCGATTTTTCTTTCGTTTTCTTTGAATATACAAGTTTGATCTAGAGTAATTATGTGATAAGAAATAAGTAAACGTATTTTCCTTTTCAGTTCTATCAGGAAGTTTATTCTGATTGTCAGAAATAGAAAAATGTTCAATCATAGAAAAATAAGTTCTTTTTAGAAGAAGACAACCTTGATCTATCAACATCAATGCAATACCATAAACAAAAAGTTTTCTCTTATTCATTTAAATTTCAATAAATCTATGTCAACAGAATAAAGTCTGCTTGTTAGAATCAATGCTGAAATATTTCAAAATGACCTTATCTAATTCTTAATCGTAATTCTCTACATTGTTTAAATCGGCGAATCATTGTTCTAATATAATCGATGTAGCTCTTTTAAGTCTCTTTAAAAGAAAAAGAAAAGAAACTACTGGTTTTTCTTATTCTGGTCAACAATTCATAGTTTTTCTGATATACGTGACCTATAAAATGGCACATTGGGTCCATTAGGTCCCATATAGAAAATTCGCGGAACTTTTTCTAAAGAAATCCTCTGATTTAACTTCAAATTATGTTTTTGATAGTGAACGACAACATTTTTCAAAATATTATTCTTTCTGTTAAGTTGTTTGTCAAGGTTTTAATAATTCAAAAGTGGCATGTTGTTGTGACGATGAAAGTAATGTATTACTGAAACTTAACTAAGATATTATTGACTAGTTTTATTACAAAAACAATCTATTATCAGTCACGTGTCCTCTGAAATGTTTTGTACGCCATTTATCCGAAGAAGATTTTCTAATTTTGTCAAAAGACTCAAGTAGCTATTGAATCGTCAACACTTATTTATAATATATTCATCAATTATAAGACTGCGCATAGACGAATACATTTATCTTAAATTAAGCTTTTGCTTTTAAATTGTCAAGACAGATAATAAATCAATCGGAGTTTTCAACTATCCATAAAACATTTAATTATATTTTCTTCAGACAGTCTCTTCTGATAGAGATTTTATTTTGTGATTAATTTACTCATTTAATATATTTAAAACTTTTTAACATCGAGATTGATTCGTGTCGTCACAACAAAATGTAATTTTCAGATTCAAATCACAAGATGAAAGATTCAAAATGAACATTTGTTTAGTCCTTAAAACTTTAAATTATGGACACAAAATACTAAAACTTCAAAAATCAAATAAATCCCTCGCAGTGTTATTCAAATACAATTAAATCTTGCTCTCGGCAAAAAAAGGAATGAATTTTTTCTATACTTGTGCATACATTAACGATAGGCTGTCTCCTTCAAGGTAAACATAACATTTCTTTCGCATAGAAAGAGGCAATTGTTTGTTTGTTTGTTCGTATTTTTATAGCAATCTGAAACATGTCACATAGTAAAATTCGAGTTTGTCGACCTTGAAAATCGTATCTTAGCAAATTCTCACACTTTGATATATGTTTGAGAAAAAACAAATAACCAATCTGATCACAGCATTCCATTGAAGTGTTTAATATTAGTAGAATTGAAGAAAAACGAAAACGCTTTTTTTGCCATATGTTTAAATGCCTTTATTTATTCCTCATCAATTTCAAATAGATAATCGAACATATACATGAATTACTAAAACGTGTAACTTGAACCTATCCATTCTTAAAAACGCGCATAAGTCATTATTTAGTTTTATGATGAATATTCTTGATGGCTTGAAGCTGAATATGAATATGAACTACTAGCACCACCTGATGCACCACCATAACTAGCCGAAGCGCGGGCAGGACTTGCGACTAAGCGTTCAGCTGACCCATATTGGCTTGATGATGCGGAACCTGAGACTAATGTACGTTGAGCTATTTGAGAGCTGCTGCTACTGACACTTGCATGACCAATTGCGCCGCTAACATGTCCATCAGCTATTCGGCTAGATTCAATTCGTCGTGCTTCTTCCATGATATGACCAACGATTTGTTTAAGACCGTCACGATTATTTGTTCCTTCAAGTAATTCTCTGTATGTAAAGATTTCTTTTTCTAATGATGTTTTCAAAGTTGAAATTTCTTGATATTCTCGTCGTAGTTTTTCTAGTCTTGTTCTCAATTCTTCAATTTCAACAGAGCGTCTAGTTATTAATCGGTCGCCTAAACAAAAAACAAATCAAAAACAATTTTATCTAAACAACAAAAACAAAACACGAATGTGTCGATTTTTTACCATCTGCTTTTTCTTGTTTAATACTTATTTGAAGTTCATTTATTCTATTATTTAATTCTTCGTTTCTTGCTTTCATATGTGCAACTTCATTACGCGTTGTTAATAATGATGTTCGTATTTTTTCTTCTTGCATTCGTTGTTGTTCCATTTGCATTGGTTCAAGACCATTCTTTTTATATTTTAAAATAAGTTCATTATATTGCATCGTATAACGACTGTGCAAATCTGCTCGTTTTCGTTCACTATCTTCTTCGAATCGAGCACGAATATCACGAATAGCTTGTGCTAATTCGTTTTTAAAGAAACGTGTTGTATCTAATTCACCAACAAGAGCTGTTGGTTTGAGTTCAATCAAAGAAGCCTCATGGGTTTGTTTAAGTAGAGTAAGTTCATCTTCTAATGTCATTTTTTCTGTATCAAGTGTATTTTTAATCATCATTTCATTTTGAATTTCACTTTGTAAACGTGATATTTCTAATGCTAAACGTTGTGTTTCAGCTTTATAACGTTTTGCTTCATCTTCAAGATCAGCTAAACGACGACGAAACAAACTGATTTGTCCTTCATTTTCAGCTATTTGTTGTTGAAGACGATCAATCGATGACCGATCAGTGTCACGAGCAGCTAAAATGCTATCGTATTTTCTACGATAAATTTCAAGATCTTTTTCAGCTTGACGAGCTTTTCCTTCAGCTGAAAGACGTTCATGATCGGTTTCAGAAACCAGTTTTTTTGCTTCATGCATTTCAATCTCATACATTTCCTTTATTTTTGTTGAACCTTGGCCTGATCTCTTTTGTAATGCTTCCAATTCCAAGTGTAATTTACGATTTTGTGCTTCAAGAAATCGTACTTTTTCAACATATTGAGCAAATTTATCATTTAATTGAGATAATTCACGTTTTTCTCTTTCTCGTGTTTCATTCAAAGCAACTACCACTGATCCATTATGAGTTGGACGTAATGGGACGCCACCCAAACCTGCTATGGCTGCTAAACCTGATATACCAGCGCTAAGTCCACCACCGCCGCTAGAGTACTGTTGGTACATTCTTGTCATCACTCCCGATCCACTGCCTATATGACGTTGAATATTAGCTGAACGTGTTGCAATTTGGGATGTGTATCCAACATCGATATCATTGTTGCCTGGCATTTTTATGTTAGTTTGTGTATCGATTTGTAAATCTTAAGAAAACAAAAGATAGAATAATGATACTTAACAAGTAATGAGCATTAATGCAGACAAATAGCACAACAGAAAAACACAAAAAAAGAATGAATGCAGTAGAGAATTGAGATGGCCCTTTTATTGATCTGTTCGGTTTTTTTTTCGTTCTCTACGCTTGGCGATTCGAAGAGAAAGAATAAACAAAGAAACCTTATGTGATCAGTAGTGTTCGTTCCGTCGATTCGCTATGACTATGGAAGTGTATAGCCATTGAAGACTTTTTTTTTGCTAAAAAAGTGAAAAACAACTTTTTTTTGTCTCTTTCTCTCTGCTTCTCTCGCTTTGCCACTTTTCCCCTGTTTTTTATGGTTTCCCTTATGCGGTTAGTTACCTACCGCATATAGATGTCAAATAATAAAGTGCGTAAAGAAAGACACCGACCAAGAGAAACACATCGGATGACAGCGGGAAAAAATGGGAATAAAATGAATATTATTCTTTCTATATAAAGAGCTGATCAATTCATGCATGAATCATCTTATAGCTACGCGTTTACATGCAAAAGGTTTGAAGGCAACAAAACCCACTAATGCTGTTTACAACTTCTTATGAAATTCATCATAAGTAAATATTGGGAAAAGAGATATACGCATAAGTTTATTTATGTTAAGACTGACTACAGCGTGAAGGTAAAGGAAAAATATTGTTTAAACTAACAATAAGAAAAAAGAGTGCCTTGTCAACGAAAAAATAAAATATTTTCAGTATGTAAAATTTCTTGATAATTATCCATGAAAAGCACCAGCCGATGCGTAAGATGTTGAATGAGTAATTTCTCGTACATTATGAGAACTAATTGGTCCAGAATTATTTTTTGTCAAACGTAAATTAAGCGAATCAAGTAATGATCGACCACGATTCATAATCTTTTCGGCTTCTTCTGCAAAATGCCGTAAGCCAACTTGATTGTTACCACCTTCAAGTAACGAACGATAACGGCGTATTTCTTCTTCCAATGTTGTACGATATTTTTCTAGATCAATAATGTAACCTTTGAGACGTTCGATTTCATCACGGAAATATTTTTGCTCATGAACCAAACGTTGATCTTCTTGATATACGGATGTTTGAATTTGTTGACGTATGTCAGCTATTTGTCTATCAAGATCTTGATTTTCCATTTGTAAACTATTAACTCGAGCTCGTACATCAGCTATACTACGTGTTATTTCACGAATCTTTTCCGTTTGCCATTGCGATTCAGCTGGTTGTTTTGGTTGATGGTATTCAACTAGTGCGCTAACTTTCGCTTGATAATAATTTTGTAGTTGTTGCTGTTGTTGATCAGTTATACTTTCATATTGTTTACGTATATCGCGTATAGCTGATGCTAATTCGCTTTCAAAAAATGGTGCCGGATCAACATTAGCAATAGCAACTTTCGAACGAAGTTGTTCAACATCAAATTTATGTGCTGTTTCAAGAGCTTTTAGCTCTTGTTCAAGAACTGTTTTTTCTGCTAATAATAATTGTTTTTGTGTTGCTTCATTGGCTATTTCAGTTATAAGATTAGCTGTATCAGTTCGAATACGTTGTAATTCAGCATTGTAAAGAGCTATTTCGTCGTCATTATCAGTAATAGTTTTTCTGATTAATTCAATTTTTTTTTCTAAATCAATAACTTTTTCTCGTAATTGTTTTAATTGACCTTTAGCATTATTGATTTGATCTGGACGTTGTAAATTAGCTAAACGTTGTTCAGCTTGTTTAAGACGTGCTTCTGCGTCTTGTCGTTTCGTTTGTCCAGAACGTATATCTTCATCCATACGTTTTAATGTATCTTCGGCTTCTTTTTTCTCACGCATAATGATCTCATTGATACGTTGTAAACCAATACCTTTTTTATTTCTTATATTATCCAAATCACGACTAAGTTTACGATTTACAGCTTCTAAATAACGAATTTTGCCAATATATTCAGCAAAACGATCATTTAATTCAGCTAATTGTCGTTTTTCTTCAACACGTTGACTTGTAAATGGAACTAAAGCCAAATGTCCACCCATATTACTACCACCGCCACCGCCACCACCACGTAATGGTACAGCATTGCTTGATACAGATTGTGATACACTCATTTTTGATGTGACACTTCGATTTCCACCACCGAGATTTTTTACAGGTCGAGTTACCGTCACCTGTCTTGGTGTTATAGCTGACATATAGCCAACTGTTGTATCTGTTGTACCATATGTATCAAGAGTTGAACTTGTACGAGAATCATTCGCATAAGTTTCTTCGCGTTGCATATCATAGATAGTCGGCATATTACTTTTCTTTTTCACGTTTAACTTTCTCGAATCGATATTACGAATGTGAGAAGAAAATCTACTGAATTTCTATGCAGCCGCTTTTTATATGGATAAGTTACGCAAAAAAAAAGAAGAAAGAAATAGGGATAGGGATATGCAAAATAGAATATTTAATAACTCATTAGAATGTACAAATGTGAATACGATCACATAGTATTCTGCGGTTCTATTAAAAGTAACTTGCTTTAGTCTGGTGTCAATGAAATGTCTATTAGTAATAAAAAAAGAAACCGCATTTATTTTACCTGATTCTGGTATCGATAATGACCATGAGAGAGAACTTGATTGAAACGACATCGACTCGGAATCTAAATATAAACATCCATATATGAATAGAGTATTATTGGAATCGAATTAAAAAATCGCTTTATGTATGAGAATACAATACAATTCTTTTATCTTGCATTTAGATGAAAACAGAAAAATGATTTTTCTTCTTGCTCTATGAAATAGAATCGAGGGGAATTAGTCAATGTAAACTTGCCATTCCATAGACAAGATCTATAAATAGAGCTCTACAGCCAAAGTAATTATTTTTCTTACTCATAATTTATTTTTAACATAAGAGAAGATCTATCTGAGCAAAATGTCAACTTTGACTTTTTCCCTATGTCTCCTCTAGATCTTGATTCTAAGGAGAAGAAGAAAAACATATTCGAGAAAATTCTAATCTTAGAAATAAATTCGTTTTCAATTACGGAATCTATTCGAAATTCATATCGTTAGGATAGTTTTCGAATGAGATGTTTCCTTCGATTAACTTTAATCTTCTCTATTTGTATGTACCTTTTATGATGGAAATATTGCTTGATTTATTAATAAATATTTGTACATATTCACATGGTTTATACCATAAAGAATGAAATAATAAATAATATTGTTCAAGTGTTGTAAATGTAAAAGTATTATTTATACCGATAATTTCATCGTCGATATTTAAATCTGGACAATAATATGAATCAATAATTGAAGAAACAATTATTTTTCCATCGGATGTTTCTCCTAATTCAAAACCATAATGACCAATATGATTTGATTGGCGTTTTACATTTATTGCAAAACAAAATTGTTCGATATCATTTGGTTTTAAATCTTTATCGTTCATGTCAAGATCAATCAACAATTTTGATTCTTCGGTTATGGGCGTTAGTAATTTTTCTTTTTGTTCATATTCATTAATTTGTTGCATCATTGATTGATATTGTTCAAGATTAGTTAAATAACGTTGATATAAACTTTCAAAATCTTCATCAGCATCATTCGTTATTTCATAAGATCGATTTTCTTCAATAATAAATGAATCATCGTTATCATTCTGATTTGTTAAAATAGATCTGTTAAATATTGGAGATAGATCGTCTATAGGTGAAATGTTCGATTCTACTGTATTTAAATATTGTTCGGGTTCAGGAGATATTTTAATTAATGGTTGAATATCATCAGGAATAGCTTCTAAATTATTGATTTCATCGAATTTTTTTGAAGTTGATTCTTGAGATTGACTTCGTAATGTTTGATCGATTACCTCATCTATATTATGAAGTATTAATGGTTGGTTTTGATTATCTGTAGGATTCTTGAGAGAGATTTCAGTTAAAAGAAGGTTCTCATTAGTTTTTGATTCTTCTTCAATTTGTAATTTTCGAGAATTATAGACAACAGGTGTATCATTAACACATGATTGTCTTTCGCTGATATCATGGATTATTTTAATAAGATTATCAATCGCTGAATTTTTATTTCTATCTCTACCTTTCATTATCAAATTATCAATATCGATCGTTGATGATGGTTGATTTTCATAAAGATTCTCTTGATGATTGAGCATTTCTATTGGTTCTAGATAAGTATTGTTGAATATATGTTGATTATTTGTTTGAATAGACGCTGTTAATGCATCATAGAAACTATTGGCTGGTGATTTCATAGAATATAGAAAATCATTATGTCTACTTAATGAATCTGTATCCATGGATTGATGATGACTTTTTGCGTTTTGATTATTTTTAATTGAAAACAATGAGTCAGGATCAGTTTCCAAACGAGATTCTTCAGCTGTATTGTAAGAAATTGTTGTTTCGTCATCAATATCAATTAAACTATCCATTTCCATAGTTTCACAAGTCTTCGCTTGTGATAATGCGAGCTTAGATGTTGTTGAACTTGTCTAGAAAGAAAATTAACTTGTAGACGACAATGAAGCTAATGATGTTTGAAAACATTATGTTTTATATTTGTCGTACAGTAGACTTTGTCCTCGAGATTATGTCTACAGTTCACGAGAAAAGAACCACAACTTTAAACGGAACGCTACGATTTAGGAGACAAGATACGATTGAAACATCTGTGAAATCTCGCCTTGATACTCTTACAAATGTACCATTGACTATTAAAATTCAAGAACTATTTAAAATAGTCTTTTTCGGGGAACTCAAAATTTTTGATCTCTTCTAAGGCAAGTTAAAATCTTGTTTTTCCCGCTACAGTTGTTTATAAGAAAAGTCGAAGATTTTGATTTCAACTAGTTCCACATCCATATCTATGAGTACCGAATAGTTCGTTAAACATACTTTATTCGACGAGATTATTGATTGTTCATTGAAATTTTTTGTTGATGAACTTTGATCTGACATCATTGACGATGATGGAATGTTATTGGTTATTTCTGTATATTTTTCAGTCGAATCATTATTTGAAATGCATGATATTCCCTGTTGAGTATTTTCAAAGACACTCGACTGGTCATCTGTACTTGAGGATAGTTTATTAAAATCGAAATTAATATCAAGTAAAATTGGTGATGGGCTAATCGTTGTACGATCAGCAATTGATGTACGAAAACTTCCTCGAACGTAACCTTGATCATGCTTAAGATCAATAGTTTTAATTGGTTTTATTCGTGGATTACTTAGACCTGTTGATAAATAGCTCGACATACGTTTTGTTTGTTGGAGTTTATCGGGATGAAATTTAGGTAATGGACATTCTTCGGTAAGTTGATTTTTAACAGGGAAGGATGAAATCCATGGAGATTTTTCATGCCATGCATCGATCATTGGTGTATGCAAAATATATTCATGTTCTTGTAGTCGACGAGTTTTTTTATCGACTTCTCCATAAAGTTCTCGAATTTGATCATGAGTATAGCTTGGCACCGACGATGGTATGGTAGGGGAATTAGCTGCTTGATAGGCTATTTCACGGCCACGAAGAATCATAGCATCGGAAGTTGGTTTCTTTACTGTTTGACGACGATATATGAAACAGGCATCAGTTATGACTTGAGTCGCTAAACTACGTTGAGATTGACGGAATTTAGTAAATAATTGATGTGGTGAGCTAAAGAGAATGTTGTCGAACTTATTAATCATATAAAAATTGAGTTCTATGTATACGAGAAGATTTTAAAAGTATTAATATCACCGACTTCATCTCATACACTCTTACGTTTTTCTCAAGTTCGTGATACTACTGCTAGGCACGTACTTTACTTAAGTTAGGTACACTTGGGGTGGCTTAACTCATTGAGGACTAGTGTTCATAATAAAATCCAATTTTTTTCCAAGTTACTTTTAAATAACTTGCAAATACAAAACGATGACCAGAGCATGGTAATAAAATTCTATTGAATTTTCTCACCTACCCTATTAATTTTGTTTGTGAGTGTATGTAAAAAACAATATACAGATCGAATACTGTTCAAATAAGTGTGAAACTGTCTTGACAACACTTCACGTATACACGCACATATCATCATCGTCCTCAATTCTCACTATTGTGGCGAATATTAAGTACAAATGTTATGACAACATTTAGCAGCAGCTGTTTTACTCATCTGTGTCTCTTGTGCATACTTGCATGTTACGTAGTTATTTTCCATCAACATCTAGAACTATACGCAACGGTTAACCATCATGTTCGCGTAGCTGGCCTCATGCTTGCACTGAAAAATATCCCTCCGATGTATTATGACTATCTTTTAGAAGGGTCTCAAAGTCAATCAAAAACTCACGATGATCAAAAAAATTCTATTTCAGTAAAGATCAAGACTTGTCACTTCATGTTCACACCTTTCGACAGAGAGTTTCGTCTACTTACATTCCACCCGATGATTTGCTTGATGGAACATTCATTTGATCGGCAGGTGAACTTGTTTTCTTTTTGATAGATTGTTGAGATGAATCTAATGATTTTAGTGTAGCCAATGAATCATCTTCTTCGCTGAGTTCTGCTGATGTTTTACTTTGATTCTTATTAGAATATGAGATAATACTAGGATCTAATCAAAACGAATAAATTTATATCGTTGAAAAATGCTTTTCTGATTAGTGCCTGTATATATATAGTTACCGTCTGTTTCAGTAAATCCACTATCTCTATTCGACGCTGAATTTCGTTTGCTACTTGATAATGTTTTCTTTTTGTTTGAAAATAAATGTACACGCTTTTTTGTTTCAACAGTTGGTGATGGTTTTTGATTTTCATTAAGTTCTTCCGTATAGGATAGATTCTTGAATTCATCAAATGCTAATGCACCTAAATGTTTTACTGTTGTATTATTAAACAAGGATCGATCTGAACTACGGCAGACGCCAATTTGTATTATTTTACTCTGTCGACGTAGACTAGTAAATTCCGCTTTAACACGATCGATTGTTAATGCAACTGGCGGCTTAAGAATATTCAGTTCGTTGAGGAATATTAAAACATCTCCTGAAAATTAAAAAGGATGAATGACAAGAAAAACGTACATAATAAAATATCGCTATTGCCAAAAAGAAACACATCGAAATCTCTCATTTATAGAATATGCTTAGTGTTTATTGTAACAGTAGAAAAATGAGAGATCCGTCAAAAAAGAAAGAAAAGGTCGAGTCTTCAATGTCTGAATTTCTAACAATACCATTACATACATTCGAACGGTAAACTCTATCTTATCGTGAGAAGTATAGAAGATTAATTTATGAAATGACTTTCTTTCTACGTAAAATATACTCATCTAAATCTTTCCCATCGAACTAATATCATTGTTTGCACATTAAAAATGCGCGTACTAACAAACTATATATCGTGTCGTCAATCATACAATTCCTAGAAAACGGTCATGGTCGCATAATTACATTACGTGACACACATCCCCACGATACTTTACGTAAACCTTCGTAGCAGCAGTCATAGAGTGACCCTGCATCAGTCATTAACAATTTCTTCTTGTCTCCTATCAAATATTCGATAGCATTGTGTTTACGCTGCAACATCTGCCTGCTCTTACAACTATTTACTATACACAAGGAGCTCAATCTATTGAACACAAGAATATTGCATCAGATCGACCTTCTATTCAATGCGGCGGCTAGTATTGATTGTAGCGAAGATAACAAGCGATTGTATCTACCGCTAGGCAGGAACGCCAACTCTTCTCTATACTTTCAATACTTGTTGAATGTTTATTATGTTTTATTTTACGATTCAATGATTCCATATCTTCTTAAATGAACGCCATTGGTAAATACTTGATTAAATTTATCTTCTATTGATTTTTCTCTTTTAATTATGAACAACACGTAGTGATATAGTTTTGATAGTTCCAAAGCAATATACAATCGAAGTCGATGTTCAGTTGTAATAGATTGTATGAACATTAATTTCATGATTATTCAATCGCCACCTTGATGATTCGTCTGAATCCTATTCAGGACAAAGTAACCTAGAATAAAATCCATTTTCTGTTTTTTTTCTTGGTGAAATACAATCTAAAAGCGTCGTTAAAAAATAAGGATCAACATGTGAACTCTGTCTCTCCCCCGTATACTCTGATCGAGACAGACATTGTTTGATAGACAATCGATGAACTCTCGTTATAATATTTGACCTATTTGTTTATGGCATTTCTCTAGGATTAAGTAAAACAAAGTGTGTCTCAAAATTCATGGAATGAAAAATCTTTCCTTGGCTAGCAACATCGGCTGCACTGTGTTTCACATGTTAATTTTGCAAGAATTGTTCTAATAGCTATTTCAGGGATTTTTATTTTCTGAATTTTTCACTACTATATCGGCCAATGAATTTCATAGACGAATGTTAATGGATGATTTGTTTTATCGATGCTCACTCGTAACCCTGTTTGCATAACTCATTGTTTTCACCGCCGATAGAATCAATAGAATCGAAATCAAAACAAATCGATGTTGTTTACAAAGCAATTAGTTGAAATTATGATGAAAGGGATTAAGATCTCATTCAGTTGTTTTTTTTTCGAACGATATAATTAAGACAATTTTCCTTATGTCAACAAAAAAACATCTCCCACGCTCATAAGAATGTCTTTTAAAGTTTCACATTAGATAAATTTCTATCATAAAAAATGTACAAAAGAATTTTTATATCGTCGCCCAAACGACTTTTTCGGGATTCAAAGCAATTTACTCTCTTCTATCTAAATCTATTTGTAATAGTAAGATATATTTTCTCTTACCTGGCGTACGATGAATAGTTAATATTTGACTGAATCATTAAATCCAAAGCTTTCGATGAAATGATTATTTGACTTGTATTTCAATTAGACACTTTGTTTGCTTCAGTCATGATCGGGATCAAACACGTACATAATGTGATAATCCATTTAAAAGAAAACGCGAATACGTTCATATATGTGTGTTTTATCCTTGAGAATTAATCTTTGTTTATTGATTTTTCATGAATTCAATGGAATAACCAGAATAATTATTATTTAATAGAACTATTTTTTGAAACCATAGACAATCAATACGTCGATCAAGATTATGAAATATTGGAAGTACTCATTATTTTTTCTTTTTGCTCTATTTTACATTGAATTTATCTAGTTATAATACCTAACAATGTAGATGTAGATATATATATATATCTTGATACGGTATAGACCATGTACGCCTATGTTCAGTTATATCTTCATGGTTCGATGACGATGCAAGTGTATTCATATGGAGAGCAAAAATACTTTGTTATGAAACCTGCGTACTAGGACTTAATTGATCTAACAACATGCCTTGCTTTAACCGTTATTGATAAGTCAAAACTGATTATTTGGAAATGTAATTTAGAAGACAAGAAACAAAACATAATAATAAAGCTACGAAATTTCTATGGATTGCATTTAAACAAAAGAAAAGAAAGACATAGAATCGAATAGCTCACCATTTCGAAGGCCCATTTTATATAATCCATTTGCAATATTATAAAAAATGATTAAGCGCTTATCATTTGAATTTGTGCTTAAATGAAGATTGCGTTCACGGCTCACATTAATCATATGAAACTGAAGTAATGAATTATGTTCATCTGCTGTTGGTGATGATGATGATGATGATGATGATGATGCATTATTATTATTATTGGTATTAAGTTGTTTCTTGGATGAATGCTCATCACTACTTATACAACTGAAATTGCCTAGAATGATAACAAGAAGAAAATTAAAAAAGCTCAATAGTGAATTAAATGACTACCAGAAACGCTATTCGGTATTGTGCGTTTTCTCATTTCTCTTTTTAATAAAGAAACAAGTGCAATCTTTTCATGTAAACGATAATAACTATACGAATCTTGTTCAATGCTTCCCATTGATGTGTTGACAACTATTCGACTCACTACTTATTAATGTACCCCAAGACGACAAAAGACAAGTTAAAGTTTAAAATAATGACATGATGCTAAGCTTCTCGTCTTTTTCTTTTCCCCTCTACGTACAGTATTAATCTTCCCGAAAAGGAGGAAAAAAATAATTACAGAGATCGGGCGGGCAAGGAGAACGACAAGAGATGATCAACCGAATTGATTAAATCGGATCAACCTCTCTTTCGTTCGTCTGTAAACGAAGGCTAGTGTTGTCATTGTTGTTGTTGTTACTATCGATCAAGACCGTACAAATATACATACTCTATGTGTATATACTTCCGGACGATTGTATAGCTATGAGTTAAACATTGCAAGAATTTCAATCAATTACAATTGGTTTTACTGATGTAAAATTAATCCTATCTATGCTTACTTTTCGTATTGATATTGCTCGAAATTTGTTTTGGTATAGAGTATTGTTGATCAGCATATTTTTTTGGCGTAAGTCGCTTTTCTTTTGAATAGAGTTTAGATGAACGTATATGTCCATAGCAACTATGCCATGAAAGACAATCAACCATGGATAGTTTATAGATAGGATATGTGGAAAAGATTGAAAACAAAAGAAATGTATCTGGAGTAGGTAGAAAAAAAAAGTGATATCGATGATGACAATAAATACCTACTATATTATATATATATATATATATATTTCTCTTCTCTCCCTTTTTGACATGCATTAACAAAGGAAGATGTTCGATTTTCATTATGACGTTTTATGCACATCTGTCTCGTCAAGATAAAAAAAATCAACAAAGAGAAACATTCGATAATCATAATGTTTGTTGGTTTCGGACGAGACATGACATACATATGCAAGTTTCATCAATTGACTATACGATCTATATGTTTTTTTGAACGCGCGCACTCATCGATGTCGCATGAAGATAAATCGTGAAAGATGTTTTATTTCTTTTTCTGCATAACCGCATATTGATCTATGTTAATACATTACTTTAGAACAGTTTAAACTAACCATTATTTCAAAGACGACGAATGTCTTTGCACATAAAAAAAAAAAAAAAAAATTTCGAGAAAAAAGGAAAGAAATCCGAACGGGTGTCCTTTCATTGATTGATCTGTTTATCAACAAAAGATTACGCGCACATAGGCTGTGTGAACGTGTTGATCTATAAAGTAAAGGCTCATTTCGTAGGAGTCGATCTGAGAGGGTGTGGGAGGACCTCACCATAATATGTACGGAAAGAAAATTTATATATAAATTGAAATTGAGTATGAAGAAATAGCGTTATACATATTTTATAATTTGAATTCTAACGAAATAAAAGAAGAGACACGCGTGTGATTGAACAGACCTTTCGACATGAAACGAAATTACACCATCATAGTCGTGCGCATTGATTCATTGATGTATATTAAGAGAATGCAAGAACGAGAACGCAAAAAAACGAGTATGTTGTTTTTAGCTACTGTTCATTTTCAATGATTGTTGAAGTGCGTCAAACGGTTCGTCAAATGTAAAAGTGATGATGGCGCATATATTCGTTCACTAGATTTATATGCATATAAATGACATTGTATGCATATTGAATGACAATATTAGTCATAATAAGTACCAGTTCTTTGACTAGCAGTACGAGTCTAATTAATTTAATCTCGTATGTAAATATACGTGTAGGATCAGCTCAAGTAGGTTCTTATTTTTCTTCTGTCAATGTAATCGAGCTTCTTTTTACTATATTAGGTTCACACGAATATATTTAAACAAAGTATAAAGAATTGTGTCATCAAAGTCTATTAAGCAAATTTTTCTTTTCTTCTCCTACGCATACAATGAATAGTTTATTTAATTACTTACAATTAGCAAAGCCAAGTGAACGTAATCGAAATGATGGTATAAATGCCATATTTTTAATAAGAGTTAATGAGGAAAATTCACAATATTTTCCTCAACTACGATTATATAATAGAAGACTTGAGCCTTCAAAATGTTGACGAGAAAAAGAGATCTTCCATAGATGATCTTTTCTTTTTCTCGATTGATATAATTCTTGTCAGTAGCAAAAAATTACATGCAGTTGGTATTGATTCAAGGTTTCGCCTTCTTTTTATGATGTTTCTACAAAAGAAAATCAGACAGATAAAATTTTTTCTCGAGGCGTCAGATGATTCGATATTTTTTCTTTTCACTTATAATATTATACTTAGAAAGAACACTTGAAAATAACTTACTTGAATTATTCATATAACATTGAACATTAACGTTTGTATAAAATACGATGGTGATGATGAAAAAATAACTAACTCGTTCGTTTTGACTGAATTGAACAGTTAAACAATAGATTTATTTTTATACCAAAACGTCTCAAGAAGGATCGGAAATAAATTGAAAGCAAAATGCCGTCAGAAACAGAAGTGTTCATTGATATAATCAATAATGCAACTAGTCATTTGTGATCAAGCTGCTCGTATTTCATCTCATATCATTGATTTCATCAATGCACATGCAATAATACGATAAGTAAAACTTACTGTTTGATGATGAATGAATGAATGAATGATTCTGATCAATCAAATAGAGAATTCCAATGTAAGTACGATGACCAGAGAATACAACGAACTGCACGATATTAATAAGCAATGAGCAGCAGCTAATTAAACATATTTTATTGGTTTGTTTCTCACGAGATCATTTATTGCCATATGTAGACTGGACAACAATATGTGCGCACGTTCGAAATTGAAGTGTAGTAACTTTGATTCGAACACATATGGTGCTAGTGATTTGTCTTGCGATATGTTCTTACGCATTGAAATTAATTTGAAGGTCACTCAAGAGTTCATTCAGCTATACAGATGATTGCAGTCATAGCATCAGGAGGATCGAGAAAGGTTCATCTGAAGTCAAATATATACAAGCAACAAAAAGAAAGAATTGCATGAGTTTAAATAGTAACCTAAAATGCTTTTATTATCTACTGGCGACAGATGATGAAGAGTCAAATCAATATGTGCTGTTGATGAAATGTTCGAAATCAAATTGTCAGAAATTTTACTTATAGTTTGTTTCGATAATAATATTAGTGTATCTTAGTAGTGCTCAATGCAAAGTGGATTGCCAACAATATTTTGAATCTAGAATCGATTTTGTTCTTTAGATTCGAAGGACATTTTAAGTGATGTTTTCTATTTTAAATTTATCGTTGAGAACACAAATAAATTTTATCGAACAAGAATCTATGGATTGTATAGCTACTCGTTTTGTCTGATTCAACTTTTTTCTTTCTTTCTTTATGCATATGAGGCAAGAATGCAACGGTAATTTACTATTTGTCTAATCTCGATATAGAGGTTTTATGATTGTATGTATATTAGACAAGAAAGATAAATAATAAAACATTCAATCATATAATCTTCCTTTACAAAACGTTCAATATTGACAAAATATGAAGGGCATAGAAATGTCAAGGAAATAGTTATTACTGCTGAGTAACGAACGATGTAAAGAAAGCGATTGAAAAAATAGGTTTAATGAGACTCGTAAATCACAAAATGATTCCTAATATCTACCAAAATTAAAATGCATTTATTGACACCAAAAAAACAAAAAGAAAGAAACTTAGACCTAGATGAACGGTGGCATGGTCTCACTTGTGTACCGTCGACACGGTTTACCTTGTTACACACAAATGCAAGTGTGATAGTTCGAATTCATGCACACGAACTTATGACGTAATTCTTAGTTATTATTCCATAAGAAATCTGATTTCTCAAGAGAATGAGAAAATCAATTAATAGCATGTATAAATGTGCGCATGCTATTCAAATGAAAACGAAACGACGAACTAATATACTTATTTGACCTTGACAGGCTCGATACGGTCGGACTTATGCCAAATATTACTTATCTAGGAACATATTTCAAAGTTTATATTTTTTTTTCTAAAAAAAAGCTCGATAAACTTCATTCCTACGTGCTCGAAACAAATCTTATCAAAGATTTCAGCTGATAAATTTTTTTTTATGTTTGAAGTCAAGCAAACATTGTAACATAAATCTTTTAACTATCAATTAGAAAACTCTTTTGTACTGTTGACCCGGATTATCTATAAGAATCTATTTATCGATGTATCGGAGTGCAGACAGACTCAGACGATTTTAACGCCGGAAAATCTGAATAAAAAGTCTGATGTCAATGTGAATCTAGAACTACATTCGTTTACATTATCATTAACTTGATCTCTTAAATACAACGCCAATAATTGAATTTTAATGAAATCTAGCAATGGAAATTTTGGTTTTGCCAAGAACATAAACAAACAAATCTCAATGACTTTTGTTCTATATGTCACGATGCCTTCGACCATGTATGAAATATTTTAGCGTGCTTGATTAATCATATCCACCCGCGATGCTCGGTGGCAGAAACCAACACATTAACTGTCTTCCGGTTATGGCTATATTAATATTTTCATCAAAATTGTATAATGATTATTTTGACAGCGCCAGTAAGATTGAATTAATTCTCAAAAATCGAATTGTCGAGTACAACGACGATTATCAATAAGTTGATGTATATCAAAATCAATATATTTATATTCGCATTGAAAATATGGCGTGTACAGTTTTTTCGATGTTTAGTAAGAAATATACGCATACTTTGAAAATACTCTATTTGTATAATACATTAAAAAAAATATGATAACAAATTATGACAACACTATCGTCATATAAACGGATTCATATATATATATATATATATATGTTTAATGAAAATCTCAAGTACAAAAAAAAGAACTCGATAGCTACATAACTAGGAAAATGAAACAAGAAAAATAGATTTCCTTTCTTTTTTTTTAATACTTATAATATTGATCCATTCATTAATACACATCCTTGGTTATGATGATCGCATAGTTTCTTTTCTAAATTTGTGATATCAGATTTAAGACAATCGGCTATGCTTGATAAATCTTTATTTTTCCCTTGTAATTCAGTAACGCGTTTTTGTAATTCAGCGATGCGTGTTAACTTTCTTGTGCGACATTTTTGCGCTGCTTGTCGATTTCGTTCACGTTTTTTTTCCTTTCGTACTATATCAGGTGGTTCATCGTGAGCTTTTGTTCGCATCGATGGAACATGTTGTAATTCATCTTTTTGTTGTTTCGATCGTTGACTTGTTGATGACGGACTGGAAGATGCTTGCGAATTAGACGAATCATTATCCATGGCAAATGATGACACCGATGGATTATATGACGATGCTTGCGAATTCGATCGAGGTAGATGATAGATTGGAATATTTTCTTGTTTTAGCATATCATTATTGGACACTATTTGACATGCAGAAGAATCATATTGATTCGTTGTTGGTAACATCAAACGAGTATTATTATTGTCGATAGGCTGTGAGAACATTCCATCAATTATATGAGAACCTTAAAAAATTTCGATTAAATTTCATTTGAATATTGATTGTGAAAAAAGTACAAACCTGTTGAAGATTGTTCATTAATAGGCGTTTGCATTTCCAGCACATTAAGAAGTTCTGGTGTCGATAGTAAAAGATTGTTATAATCGCTCGGTGTAAACAACATTGCATTGCTGATATGTTGTCCATCTATTTGTAAAGTATTGGGTCGTGATACTGATTGCGAAATAATAGATATATTTTGTTGTGTTGGATTCATTGTTTGATTTTGTTCAATATATGAATAACTTAATTCATGCTCATGTTTTATGTGATCAGCCATCTATCTTAGATGAAAAGCAAAAATAATGATCGTAGTTTAATAGAAATAGAAGAAACGTGTGTTTTTATACATATAAATGTTTTGTTCTATTCTCAAGTAAAGGAAAGAAAAAAAGTTTTTGCGTAGGTGCGCACAGTACGCGGGGGCTCTGATAAAAGAACGGCAGTCTTAGTCATCAGATACAAGTGATATTTATTTTCTACGTCATCCGTCGAGCAAAGCAGTCGTAGAAAGGAAGAAAATTCTGTCAAGAAATCCCAAGTCAACTTTTTATTCGATCTTTAAAAAGGAAAAAACATCGTAAGAAAATGCAACGTCATTGCAAAGCATAAGCTTATTTTTTTTGCATTGCTCGTTGGAAGAACTGTAAAAATAATCTGAACACAATTTCTAAATAGCGATAGAAAAGAAAAAGAAAAAGAATCGTATTCAATACAATCCAATCTAATAGTTATTACTATAGATTTAACAGAATTATAAGTGCAATCAAGTGAAACAACTGCTTCGCATGCCTACACAATACGCCATAACTTTTGCATTCGCATTTAATTTGACGTATTTTTTCTGCTTCTCTGCGTTTATGACAAGGTAATAGAAGGGTCTCTGTGCATGTTTACAATCTTTTTTTACCATTTCATTTCTATAGCATTAATTGTTATTGATTAGTGCGGACTTTTTCGTATTCGGTTCAGAGATTTTCGAGCAAAATCTAACGTGTTTACAATGATACGTTACCCCCGTGTGTTTTAAAATTACTTATAAATGAAAAATCACTAAACAACTGAAATCTCTACAGAGAAAAACAGCAACATTTTGTTGTTAATTAAGGAGAAAAACGGTTGAAATAATAAATATGATGAAAGCCTTAGAAAATATATAAATAAATATAATATATATATATACAGTATGTAAAAAAAACGATTTGGACATTCGCTACACTAATCTTGTAAAGCGAATTTCATATTTAAGGAAAACGATTTTCTTGACTTCTATTACATCATTCGATAGCCCGGAATCTCAACTTTATTCTACAATTAAAACGTTTCTCTTGAAATATATTCCTAATGTATTTTCAAGAAGCTCCTTGATTTTCTACGCAAAAGTTTTATTTGGACACTTGTATTATTTCTTTTCTAGAACGTTAATTCCAAAGTAAAACATTTTGAAAAATAGCTCATGCGATTGAGAAAAGTGTCTTCTATACGTTTGGTGTAGTTTAAAGCTGAAAATAGATTTGACAGAATCGAAAAAACCCGAAATGCCTGAGGCAGCATAAATTTTCTAAAAAATTACTTTTCTTAGCTTTCACTATATAGAAATACTTGAGTCGAAATATATCATTCGAAGCAGGTGTTTTTTACCTATATCGAATGAAATATTTCGACTCAAGTATTTCTATATAGTGAAAGCTAAGAAAAGTAATTTTTTAGAAAATTTATGCTGCCTCAGGCATTTCGGGTTTTTTCGATTCTGTCAAATCTATTTTCAGCTTTAAACTACACCAAACGTATAGAAGACACTTTTCTCAATCGCATGAGCTATTTTTCAAAATGTTTTACTTTGGAATTAACGTTCTAGAAAAGAAATAATACAAGTGTCCAAATAAAACTTTTGCGTAGAAAATCAAGGAGCTTCTTGAAAATACATTAGGAATATATTTCAAGAGAAACGTTTTAATTGTAGAATAAAGTTGAGATTCCGGGCTATCGAATGATGTAATAGAAGTCAAGAAAATCGTTTTCCTTAAATATGAAATTCGCTTTACAAGATTAGTGTAGCGAATGTCCAAATCATTTTTTTACATATTGCCAGGAAACTAAAACTGTCTACGATTGATTAAGTAACTCAACTTGTGTTTCATTTATCATGAAGTATTTATTTGAAATAGTAAAACTTTCTTGAATCAGTATCTTTAAACTATTCGTTTCACTGGATCAAAATCAATTTTACGATTAATTTCAATTGATCAAGTTCATTTTAATTAATTAGAGCTTTTGCAACGTCACTCGAAACAAAAGTTTCTATCAAACAACCTTTACAGAAACCTTTTTGTTTTGAATCATGCACTAGAAGGTTGACTTCCGTATTATCTAGTCATTCGAGTGTAACCACTTCTATTTATCCTTCATTCTTACAAGTCAGCGACTTCCAAATTACACCTACACGATATATCGTTGAAAAGATATGTTTACTCTGTTGTTGCACCTTTTGTTGTCGTATTCAATATATACATATATGCTAAAACGTTTGATCTTAAATGAAAATTCATATCAATAAAGTTTTATTTTGGATAAAAGTCAAAAAATATGAAATAGATGGGTTATGCTTGAACATTCTCATACGAAAATAGAAGACCAAAGGTATTAATACAACAAAACGACAAGCATAGAGTTGTATGTTTGCCAATATTACCAGTCCTACGACTAGGAAAAATAGATTTTTAGGAAATTTTTGCGTGATCAATATTTTAACATGAATGAGATTCAAATTTTCCCATAGAAATAAAATAAAAAAGCAAATACTGAATCAACGAAGGATAATTTTGTTTTTTAGATTTTATCAAAATTTCAAATTCGTGATTGGTCAGCTACTGATGACGATGTCATTTTTCGCTCCCACCCATAGAGAAATGTCGCCGATAAGACGAATACTGTTCCGGTATAGAAGAATCTAAAATAAACAATTATTTGGTCACGTTACATAAAAGTATTTATCTTACAAGGACGGTGAAAAATCATGTAAGAAAAAGTAAGAAATAACAGATGAAAATATGATTGAAAGCGATGTTGCAAAACCTTTAATAATATTATCAGCATATTTAATTACAGTAGCAATAATTAAACCACCCATTGCCTAACGAAATAAAATCGTTTTTAAAACTTCAATAGAAAATAGCTTTATTTACTTGGAGGACAATAACAATCCAGACGATTGCTGAATATCCTTGGAAGAAACCTTTTTCCATTACAGGTTTATAGTCGACACAAAATACTATCGCCAAACCGAAAAGTGAACCAAAACAAGCTATTAAAGTTCAAAATAAAAACAAGTAATTGATGCTTGAAAAAAATAATATGTGACGAAAGTTCCTATGCTGAAAACTATTTTGTACCTAATTGAATATTTCTAACCCAAACTGATGTTGATCCAGTTTTGAGAATTTTTTCAAAATAAACACCCGAAAAACCGGATGTCACAGAAGCCAATATAACCGCACCAAAGCCAATAGCTTGCTGTAACCATGTAGCTTGAATTTGTGTTGTTATACGTTTAGTTGTTTCTTCCGATGATGGCCACTATGTTAAAGTACGAATGAAATGTTATTTTTTCTCTTCTTCTTCTTCTTTTGATAAATCTCTCTTACTGTCACGAATGCTACACCAATAGCAAGTAAAAATAACGAAAACCATTGATGTCTTTCGACTTTTTTCCCCATAATCAATACTGAAAATATAGCTGTAGTTAAAATTTTTAATTGATATGATACTTGATATGTAGCCGCATTTAGATAAGATAATGCAACAAATAAAAGATTATTTTGAACTGCATATAATCCACTTGGTATTGCTAATTTAGAAGTATCAAAAGGTTTGGCATAAATTTCTTCGTGGAGTACTCGTAGTAATCGACTAACTGAACGATCTATTTCGAAATGAAATTTATTAATTAGTTTTCAGATCATTCATATTTCTCTACATACCATTCTCTAGCCAAACAAGAATAACACAAATCAATCCTTTAATAAATTCAGCAGTAACAATGGCCGTCGACGATAAATATCTTTCAGCCTTCATCGTCCTTGAATAACGTAATAGAAGTACAAGACTTGTATTTTGTACAACAAGTGCTACTAAACTTATCCATCGGAGATTTTCTTTCTTGGAAATCTATGAACAAAAAAAAAACATGAAAGGATTTAATTTTTTCTCTTCCAAGAACATCATAGTTCAAATAATAAAAAGCAGATGCTTGGATTATAGTAGTAGAAACTCGATCGTTAACCCCCGTGTCTCATGCTATATTATATTTTAGTAAGAACAGTAACATTGTATTTCATAGTTCAATTTCACAGAGATAACACTGACGGTTTTCTTTTCTGTTTTCTTTTTTGTCTTTGATTCATACTTACAATTCTCATCGTTATAACTAGTTAGAGAAGTAATATTCCGGTGCTTGATAATAAATATAGAAGTGATAGTGAAGATTTATTTAGAGAAGATGAGCCAGCCAATAACACAGAAATTTATAATCAATAAACCACTAGTTCTTTTTTTTCAGAAACAATAATGCGATTGTTTAAGGCTGATTAATAAGAATTCAAACGTGATAAAATTTGTTAAGATGGAAGATACGAAAAGCAGGAGCGTATTAAATAGTTGATTTTTTTTGTCTTATGCCTACCTCTGCGACCATAGTTTTACCTATTTAAAAATCTGAAACGAAAAATTGATAAAGATCTTTCTTTTTTCTGCAAAAAAAACAAAAGATTTCTTGTGCTTTTTTATTTCAAGAACACCAATGTAACGCAGCACGATATTGAAAATCAATACTGTTGGCATAAGCATTAAAGTCCTATATACTACTCATATTTCTCATACAACACAGACTTTTGTCGTCGACAAAACACATGGTAACATGCAACTGTGTGAGTTGTATCCAGTGTTTTAATACGTTCACGTTGAATTCAAATATCAAAATCTAAACTTCGATTAGAACGTATGAAAATGTTTGATATTGTCTTAACTTACTTTTGCCAGAAGCAAATTCAGTGTCATTGAAGTTCGTTTGAACCCAAAACAAACATGTCACACGAGCATTTTAATAATAATAGATATTGTTTCCAGTAGATATTTATCTTAATTTAATCACTATTTTTTCAAGGTATAATTATGAATTCGAAAATGTTTAAATATAATTTGACATATTTTTAGATAGATATTCAAGTATTAGCTAGATCTTGTTCATTGGGTATTTATTTCAATGTTTTCATAACGAAATCAGTTTAAAAAATGGCGTATATCGCTGGTGATATAGCGTTAAAAAGACGACAAATAGCATATTGGCGGCGTGAATTGTGTACTTATTCAGCAAGGTCTTTCACAGTCGATTTCATTTCAAGGTAGATAGGCTACGAAGTGGTAGTCAATGTTGCAAAAAAAGATCAATATTAAACTTTATAATCATTTTTTAATTATTCTTAAGTCAACAATAGTTTGCACCGTAATCGTAACATTAAAACTTGTACAACAAAATTTTAAGTTTGCAGTTGACAACAATCGTTCGTGATTCATCATAGACGCTTATCCATTGGTTAATATTCATGGACTAATAGTATTATTTTATAAGACCCTCAACATTTAACAACAATATTGAGTTTCACCATGATAGTAAAATAATATCCTATTTGATTATCGAAAATTATTGTTTTATAAGCCAAATTTTGTTAACATAATCTGAAAGGAATGCCGAGGTAGAGAAGTGATGGATATAGGGGGGCCATCCCACAGACATTTCAGCAACGTGGAAACAAGAACCAAACACTAGCAATAGATGATGGCAAATGTTTTAGCAACACTGCTGCCTTTCGAACATTCTACACTGATCAATTTCTCGCTTTATTGTATGAACTACTTATTGTATCGCACAAGGATTATAAGTAAAAGAATAAAAAAGGAGAGTATGTGCCAAAATAAACAAAAAACTCTACTATATGATTAGCAACAGTAACTACAATGTGTCTTAGAAATAAATGACGTGGCTATTGTGGTAACACAGCTTTTTCATGTTAACCATTAGGCATACTTAAAAAATGATAAATATAACTCTTACATATGAAACGTCAGCAAAGCTGCCAAAAGAAAGAATAAATATGGATATAGAGCTCGAATAGAATAGACTATGTATCATTGATTTTCTATTAAATATCGGATGAAATACAAACGATTCAAAATCTATCGAATCAATTTAGCAAAAATAAATAAAATCAGAATTTTATACCAAGAATCTTCTTAAAGATTTCCACTTTCGTATATGCTTAAATTCTTCAATCAATAATTCTATCAAATCATTGTGTAGGGTATTATTTCGTAGTTCTATTGTTGTTGTTAAATAAAATGCTATTAAAATTGCAGCCAGGAGGCATACATATGACCCTTCAATCTTGAAGAAAATAAAAATTTCATGTAGTTTCGTGGGAAATTTTTCTCTCACAATTACTCTATACTTAAATGAATGAGTGAGAAACAATGAACAACTGAGTGTTTTTCTCAATATCACTTTTAGTTTTTGTTATATTTCTCTTTGTGTTTTCAAGGTGATTAATATAACTTCGCAATTCGGGGAGCTGTGAAAAATTCTATCTTACTATATACTTTCTTTAAACTCTTCCATAATGTATAGAAATAATATGTTATGTTTAGGCATCATTATTCGTCTTCACAATCAGTTCTTTTATTTCCTAAAACATTCATTCCTGTAGTTGAATTTAGAAGAGTAGCATCACTTCTCTCATCAATAACCATTCAACTGTGAGGTCTGATTATTTCTTTATTAACATGAGAGAAAAACTCAGGTACAATTTAGTACCCGCCGGAGAGAACATTTCATGTGTAAAATATTACTATTAATACCGAATAATAATTGCGTAGATTGTTTGAGCCATTAACAAAATGTTTCTGATTCTCAATAAACAAATTCTGACATATGCCATTAATTTTACGCTATAGTATCTGATTCATTCTTTCGCATGGATATGATGAATCAGTCCATATATTTTTCGCTATACCGTGGGACAAAAGAAATCAAGTAGAAATTACTTATTCAATCTTTTCAAAATGATTTCATTGGAAAAAAAACATACACTTTCCTCCCACTATGAAATAACGTAGCTATAACAACACAACATATTTCCGTTGATGTATGAAATAATGACGCATAACTGCATATTTCTATTGGTTAATAACAAGTAACGAATGAAAAACATGATGACAACCCTCATCAAATGAAAATTAACTAAATTCTTCAATAATTAGGATACAAATAAAATTTTCTTGATTACATTTGAATACATTTTCAGTAGCTAATTTTTATTAGCCTTGTTTTACAATTTAAAAATAAAATTTTTGATAATTCTTTCTCGTCCATCCTCCTACATCGTACATCCTAGTAATAACGTATTTACTCCGTGTGTTAATCAGGTTTTTCATTCTCTTTCGTCATTTCACTAGTGTGTGCGTGTGTAGTTGTGTGTGTGCGCGTGCGCAGTCTCTTGTTGGTACAAAAAAACAAAAAAAAATCGATAAAACTTTTCTGAAATTTCACCTTCGTGTGAACCAAAAAAAACGTAAAATCTCTTTCAAAAGCAGAAAGTACGTTAACTACCCTATCAAATTTATTTAAACCCTAAAACAATATACAAAATAAAAAAAAGTCGAAAAATCCAACAACAGCGCTAAACGACAAAAAATTAATAAAATATGGCAACAAACAATACAGCAGCAGGTGCTCCAAGCTACCCGATGGCTTCATTATACGTTGGTAAGCTTAAACTTACTTCTGTGAATTTTTATTCTTCTAAAATTTTGCTCTAAATCATAGGTGATCTTCATCCTGATGTCACCGAAGCTATGTTATTCGATAAATTCGCAAGTGCTGGACCAGTTCTATCAATTCGCGTCTGTCGTGATATGATTACACGACGATCACTTGGCTATGCTTATGTCAATTTTCAACAACCAGCTGATGGTATGTCTAACTTTTTGCATTTACCATTACGTAATTACAAGAAATCTTACAAGTGATAGTATTTTATTAATTAATATCATTTGTATCACATGTTAATCGAATTGAGTAGAACTAATAGCGACACCACAGGAGGGTAAATTCGGGTCGAACCCACCCCATCCGGAATACTATCCGTCATATTTATAGTTTGTTTCATGGTAACAAAAACATATTGACAGCTGAGAGTTGTTATACTCAAGTTTATTGAGAATCTCTTATAAAGATATATATGTATTGTATGATTCTAGCTGAACGTGCACTTGATACAATGAACTTCGATGTACTTCGTAGTCGTCCATTACGTATCATGTGGTCTCAACGTGATCCAGCTTTACGTAAATCTGGTGTTGGCAATGTATTTATCAAAAATTTGGATAAAAACATTGATAATAAATCACTTTATGATACATTTTCGGCTTTTGGCAATATTTTATCGTGCAAAGTAAAAATTATTGATCTTTCTAAATAAAATAAAATAAAATCTCAATCTTATTAATTAGATCATGACTGATGAAAGTGGTCAATCAAAAGGTTTCGGTTTCGTTCATTTTGAAACACAAGAAGCAGCAGATAATGCTATTAATAAAGTCAACGGCATGTTATTAGCCGACAAAAAAGTTTTTGTTGGTCGATTTATGTCACGCAATCAACGAATTGATCCTAGTGGACCACGCAAATTTACCAATATATTTATTAAAAATTTTGGTGAGCAATTAAGTGAAGATAAATTACGGGAACTTTTCTCACAACATGGAAAAATTTTAAGTTTCAAAGTAAAAGAATATAAATTATTCTAGTAAAAACAAAATAACAAATACTTTTCATTTATTCAGATTGAAAATGATGGCAATGGAAATTCAAAAGGTTTTGGATTTTGTAGTTATGAAAATCCTGAAGAAGCTGAACAAGTAAAATAACGATTAAACAATATAAAAAAAAATAATGATTCTTTTTATAGGCTGTTATAACATTAAATGGTTTTTTATTTGGAGATAAACAACTTTTTGTTGGTCGTTTTCAAAAGAAAAATGAACGTTTATCTGAAATGAAACGTAAAAAAGATTTACAACGACAAGAACGTATGAACAAATATCAAGGTGTTAATTTATACATTAAAAATTTGGATGATACCATTGATGATGAACGTTTAAGAAAAGAATTCTCAAAATTTGGAACAATTACCAGTGCCAAGGTATTTATCTACTCATTCATATGACTTTTCCTTTTCTAAACATTATGATGATCTTGATTTAGATTATGTCAGAAAATGGTCGATCAAAAGGTTTTGGTTTCGTTTGCTTTAGTGCACCCGATGAAGCAACAAAAGCCGTTACAGAAATGAATGGTTCAATTGTTGGCTCTAAACCACTCTATGTTGCATTAGCACAACGCAAAGAAGAACGTCGTATGCATTTAACAAATCAACATATGCAACGTATGGTCACATCACGTGTACCACAACAAATGCCATTACCATTCCCTAATGGTATGAGTGGTATGATGCCGTATTTGCAAGCACCAATGGGTCCGTCACAACCACGTAACTTCTTTGCGCCAACAGCAGTGCCAACATATCGACCAGCACAACCACGTTGGTCATCAGCTGCTCCAAATAGTGGCATGAGACCACCATCAGGTGCACAAATGATCGGTATGCAAATGCCACAAACAGCTATGGTTGCTGCTCAACGATCGGCTGCTATGGCTGGTGTTGCATCTCGCGCTGGCATGCCAGTACCTGCTCGACCAACACCAGGTCAAATGATGCCTAATAATTCTAGTCGACCACAGGGAGGCATGCAACAACAACCAGCATCAGCATATACTCGTACGGCTAGAAACACACCACAAAATGTAAGTTTTCAATTAGAAAAATATTGTTTAAACAACATGCTTCTATTTTATTTTTGTGTATGTTTAGAATGCAGGTGGATTCGGAAATTCAATTGTCGTTCCTGGACAAGAACCATTAACACCAGCTGGTCTTGCTAATGCGACACCACAAGAACAAAAACAAATGTTAGGCGAACGTTTGTTCCCATTGATTCAAATAATGCAACCTGAATCAGCTGGTAAAATCACTGGTATGCTTCTTGAAATTGACAATACGGAACTTCTTCATATGCTCGAATCACGTGAATCACTCAAAGCTAAGGTTTGTTCGAATAAGAAATGGTCAAAGCAATTTCCATTGATGTTTTTCGTTTTTTTTTTTTTGTTCAGGTTGAAGAAGCTATCGCCGTACTTCAAGCTCATCAAGCTAAACAATGCTTTGCAGCTAAACAAGCAGTAAATAATTCAGCTGCCCCATAAAAAAATACATGTCGTCACAAGCAAAACAAAAATTTCAAAAAAATCAAGCAAACACATAGACACATATACACATTTGATTGTCTTTTATGTTCTATCTCTTTTTTTTTCTATAGTATGCACCGTTCGATTATCTAGGCGCATTTTTTGTTAACTTAAGTTTTTTCTTCTGTTTCGTTCACATTGTTTGTTGTTGTTGTTATTTAAGTGCAAACAACATTACTCGCTGGTAAATCGGTATCGTCGTTATTAAATATAGGAGAAAAAATAAGTTATTAAAATACGGATGTTCTGTTTTTTCTATTTGTCGCTGTGTTTTATGTTAATGTATGCGTATTATCATCTTCGTCATCGACTATTCAGTAAGGCAGATCAAACATATTTATGTATATGTACGTGTGTGTGTGTGTGTATGTGTGTCTATGTTTGAAGAAACAAAAAAATAAAACGAAAAAGAAAACATACTATCTTAGTATCTTTACATTTTGATGACGTAAATTTATGCTTATTTATTCAACGATCATCGAACGACCGTGTTTAAACAAACAAAGCAAAAAAAAAGAAATGAACAGTAAGCCTAGTAATTCAACCGGTCAAACGATTGTTTCTTTATTGTGTATTTGACAAGTAGAAAGTATAGGTGTAGAAGTAAAGGATGAAATATCTCCTCATCGAACTTTTGATCATCATAGTTTTTGTTTATGCTCAATGTGAAATCAGCTATATTGAAGTGAAATATCCATTAAGGGTAAGTTATTTCGTTTGAGAAAAAAGGATAAATAGCGAAGAAAATCTATGAAGGGTAAACGATCATCACCGAATGCAGTTTGGCCACAACCACAGCACAGCAATATTTCTATCGATCTGTTGTATATTCGTCCGAATGATCTTGCAGTGTATTCAAATCTGCAAACATGCGATATTATCGGAAAAGCTATTGAAAGATATAAGCCTATTTTCTTTCCACCAACACTCACGATGAATCAGCCATCGGCAAGTATGGAGAATATTTTGCAAAACTTAACATTGAATATCAAAGGTAACATTCAATGTGAGAAACATATTGAGCTCAATTCAAATGAAGCTTGTGAGTAGAATGATTAGAAATGAGCTTTTCATATGTGTTTTTGTTACTCAATTTCGATAGATAATTTAACCATCAAACAGAAAGTTGCTTTAGTCGAAGCATTTACTGTTTGGGGTTTATTACGTGGTCTAGAAACATTTTCACAATTGATCTATATCAACGAACAAAATTATGTACGTACTAAATCATTGCCGTGAATTTATTTTCATCTGTTTTGCTATTGATATACGTAGGTTGTAATCAATAGTTCAGTAGATATTATTGATAGTCCTCGATTTCGTCATCGCGGTGCTATGCTTGACTCAGCAAGACACTTTATACCAGTATCGATAATTAAAAAGAATCTCGTAAGTTTTACTTATTCAAACAAATCAACAAATACTCAAAAAAATATTATTCTAGGATGTCATGTCATACAATAAATTCAATGTATTTCATTGGCATCTTGTCGATGATCAATCATTTCCATTTGAAAGCAAAACATTTCCAAATCTTTCACGAGCGGTAAGAATAAACAGCTATGCTTTTTCTTTCTTTTTAAAACATGATGTTCTAGGGTGCCTTTTCTCCGGATCATGTTTACACACCAGCTGATGTAGTAGATATTATTGAACATGCACGATTACGTGGTGTTCGTGTTATACCAGAAGTAGGTTTCATTGCATTCTATTTGAACTTGAATCATCTTATTTAAAACAAAATAGATCGATACGCCTGGTCATACATATTCATGGAGTAAATCCATGCCTGAATTGATTACTGTTTGTTGGGCACATGGAAAGCCTCGTCAGGCTATTTATTCAATTCAAGGTGAAACGGAAATATTTAATCCAAGCGAACCGAAAGTTTATTCAACGATGGATGCACTTCTTCGAGAAGTTCACGATCGATTTCCTTCAAATTATATTCATCTCGGTAGGCGAATAGGCTATCATCGTTTGCAAATAGAATAGTTTCTGCTTTATTTTTCTAAGGTATGGATGAAGTTTATGACAAATGTTGGTATGTGTAATTTAATTAATCATGACGAAGCAGTTTTCGTATTGATGTTTTCTTCATTTCAGGCTTTCGAATCCAAATATTCGTCAATGGATGGTTGACAATAATATTCTAAGCACAAGAAATCTTCATAGATACTATGCCGATCAAATATTAAATATAGCACGTAATATTAGTGTGACACCAATTGTTTGGCAAGATGTTTGGGATGAACACGTCAAAGTAGGAAATTCGATGTTGTCTCTTTCTCGTAGAATTAGTTTTCTTGTTGACTTTATGTTTAGTTACCACCAGGTACTATTATTCAAGTATGGAAAGATTCCAGTGATAATATTGAGTTTAATACATGGGCTTCATATTTAAATCGAGCAGCAAACGAAGGTTATTATGTTATACTTTCAAGTCCTTGGTATATTAATTATATTGGTTATGGAAAATATAATACTGATGCATCGGTTATGAATTTGGAATTTTTTAAATACTACGAAGTTGAACCACTCAAACAATTTTCTGGTGCGATAATATTCTATTGAAAAATAACGTGTTAAACAAAATATATTTCAGGATCCAATGAAGCTCGAGAGCGAGTTCTTGGCGGAGAAGCGTGTCTTTGGGGTGAATTTGTTGATGGAACAAATTTACTTTCACGTTTCTGGCCTAAAGCAGCTGCTGTTGCCGAACGCTTATGGAGTCCGGCACATGTAAATAATTCTGAAGATGCTCAATTTCGATTGGTAAATTATGATTTTAATTGATGTATACAATCGTTGATTTCTTATATTTAGGATATTCATCGATGTCGTCTTTTAAGGTTTGAAAACATAATTTCAATGTTGATATTATTTTTGTTTTTTGATCTAGACGAGGAATACCAGCTCAACCGATTCTCAATGGTTATTGTGGTAACTATGAATCAGGCATGTCAAAGTCAATGATTCATCATCCATCATTCAATTACGATCATCCAAAACCAATTGAAACGACGGTAGTACCGTTTGAAAAAATCTTTGCTAGTCTATCTTCAACATCATCGAAAATATGCAATAATAAAGTTTCTCATGTCGTTTATTTATTACTAGCATTATTTTATGTATGTTACTCTCGTAAAGAATGAAATAATAATTAATTGTTTTTAATAGAGAATCTTTTCAATCTTAGTTTTCTTCTTTTATTAATATTCAATAAAACAAAAAAGCACTGCCATTTTACTCCATTCTAAAATACAATTGTTAGTCGTGAAGGACGTACGAATGAATTTCTTATATGTAATTCAATATTTTCAATAGAAAAAAAGAGAGAAAAAAATAGATAAGGTTGATATAGTATAACGAAGACAACTTTCAACAGTGTCTATCTGGAAACTGAAGACTCAGTATATTCACACGAACATATCAAAGCCACGTAAATTCATTGAATAGAGTTATTTCGACATGGAAAACGACAGTATGGCTACGAATGAAGAATATTGTCATTCTTCTCGTAAGTCAAGCGTTAAACGATTATCTGATAATATCAGTCGAAAACAACTGCTATTTAATTTACCTGTTATGAATATTCCTGAAATGTCCGAACAAGCGTTAAAACGGTGGTGTGAAGCTCGCGATACATATCTTGATCAACGATATCCATCTGTGGAAAAACAAAAATATAAAAGTTTAAACAATGAAGAAACTCCATCGATTTCAATACTTGACGCTAAACATGGCAATGAACAAGATGTTCCACGTGACTCTTTTGACAAACAAAATATACAAACGATTGCTGATGATTTTAAAGATCAATGTACCGAAACAGATGCAAATAAAACTACATTATTCAATAGAAACATCGAGCAGATTGATCAAAGCAGTCAAGTTGATTTGTTATTTTCTCAAGTTGAAATAGATGATGATAATAATAATCATAATAATAGTAATGATACAAATCTAGTCGAAGACAGAAAAGAAAAAAATGATAAAGCTATTGAAACAGATTATTCAACCGTAACTATTAAAAATGAGAATGGACTTATACATGAAAACGTTAGAGGCAATTCGTCAGACTTATCCATTGATCAAAGCGATGATAATGATAGTAAAACCATCATGCCGTCACGTAAATCGAATATATCTGCTTACGAACAATTTCTCATGTATTCCTATTATATATTTTTTATTGTTTTATGTTTAATTAGAATAGAATTTGATTATTGTAGACTTCGGCATCGTTTCAAACGATTATCACAAGAACGTCGTTTACTGAGTTGTCTCTTAGTGCTATATATTATTATTATGTGTGGACTATTTGTAGTTATATTTCTTTTACTACTAACATTCAACGGTAATGTGCTTACTAGTGATTCTCTTATTTCACTGAACCAAACTAATCTTTCATAGGGCACTCACAGATTTTCTACGAACAAGTAACATCGAATGACACCAGCATGATTCACGGAGGTAATAAAAAACACAATATGAATGATTTCTATGTAAACCTATTCCGAAGAATATAGTTGCTCAATATGGTGAATCGTGCAGTAACGATAATGATTGTCGGCAACCATTTACCTGCTATAAGAAAGGATCGACATGGGGTATCTGTCGATGTCCATGGAAGCACGATTTAGTTAATAATGAATGTGGTTAGGAAATGATATTTTTTATTACAAAATAGAACGAAGGATTGTATTCTAGTTGGTGATCTCAATGCATTATGTAGTCGAGATGCTGATTGCCAACGATACATGCTCTGCTCAGGCACGGACGATGGTACAAGACGTTGCCATTGCCAAACATTATATAGCTATGATCTAGAGCAAAAGCGATGTTGTGAGTAGATCAATTTTTTCCCGATTGAATTATATTATTTTGTAAATTAGACGGCGATTATCGTGCTCCATGTCAAAGTAATAATGATTGTCGAACTAATCTTATATGTAATACAACGACTATACCGTCCATGTGTTTATGTCAATTAAATTATCGATACTATCCATTAGTACGTAAATGTCGTGGTGATCCAGGTTCTACGTGTGAAGCAGCTACTACTGAATGTGCTGATAATGCAGAATGTCGTGATGGTGCATGTGAATGTGCATTTCAATTTGTTCCGGATGGAAATAAACTATGTGGTTAGTTATTTTTACTAGAAGAATTTTTTTTTATTAATCTTGCTTTTTTTTCACTTTTTAGTTGATCCATGCCTTAAAATAACACCGAAACTGGTAAAAATTCGCTATCCAGGACATTGCCATCGATTTATTGATTGCCAACGAAGGTAATTGATCGAAGAAATTCGAAATACTTATTGACATTTTTATCATTATAGATCAAAAAGTGAATGTCCTGAAATGACAATATTCAATTTTCGTACTCAACTCTGTGATTATCCTAAAAATGTGTTAGATTGTCAATAAACTGTTTGCTTCTTTACTAACTGCAAGAAACGATGGTAGAATTTTCTAAACGAGCTAACTTCAAAAAAAATGATTGCAGACATGAGAATAAATGAAAAATAAAAATAAAAAATAGCATAAATGTACGTGTTACTTTTGAAATGAAAATGAAATATTTAATCAATAGAAATTCGAATCAACATACATTTATATCTTAAGGATGAGCGTGGGTGGGTGTTCCACTATGTTCAGATTTATGCACACTCGCACCCACGCCCTCAAAATTGAAAATTTCTGCAAGCTACTAATAATCAAAATATAAATATATTTCCCTAAAATTGCTGGTAAATTTATTAACAGATGTATCTATTTGGATCATAAAATAATCGCTTGGTATTTTTATGGCCTTTCTTCTTCGATAAAGCTATTTTATTGAAGAAAAATTTAATGATTAGTAAAGCGTTGGAACACATATCTAATCCCGAATCATTAAAGGATTAACTATTTAATATAAACTGGTGGCAAAAAGTTTAAGAACAGCGTATCTTTAATTTTGTTTTACTATAACGCGAAGCACCTAGCTCAAATTCAAATAGTAATTTGATTAGCTAATGAGGTGCTTTATCAAATGCACCATATACCAAGATTTCATAGATGAACTATGCTGACCAGGTTCGTTTCTAAAAAACCGGACATGGCAATTTTCAAGTCTCAGAAAACTTTGTTGGACGTATTTTTTAACAGTACCATCTTAAAGAGCACAGAGTGCTGATCAAAAGGGAGGATCGCCGCATTTTCTACGACCTTCTCTTGAAAAGTTACAAGCATCGTAAAAGAGAAAAAAAAATTATCAGAAAACCACTAAAAATAGCCGAAAACCGTCTTTTTTTTCGGTTTTCGTGATACTTGTAGCTTTTCAAGAGAAGGTCGTAGAAAATGCGGCGACCCTTGCTTTTGATCAGCACTCTGTGTTCTTTAAGATGGTACTGTTAAAAAATACATCCAACAAAGTTTTCTGAGACTTGAAAATTGCCATGTCCGGTTTTTTAGAAACGAACCTGGTCAGCATAGTTCATCTATGAAATCTTGGTATATGGTGCATTTGATAGAGCACCTCATTAGCTAATCAAATTACTATTTGAATTTGGGCTAGGTGCTTAGCGTTATAGAAAAAAAATTAAAGATACGTTGTTCTTAAACTTTTTGCCATCACTTTAGATATCAGAAAAAGTGGTGTCATTATTTTTTTGCTTTGCAACTCAATCGATGGTTTTGAAACTAGTTCATTCCTTGATATGTATTCTATGCGGTCTTATTGGTTTGATTATTGTTTCTCTCTAAATGAGTTATTTTTAATTTAGACCGTCATTAATAGTTCGCGCCAACTCTCAAGCATGCGATGGATTATCTCAATATGAGCGATGTTCGCGCAATTCTGGATGTGCTTGTTTCCATACAGTAGGCGCCACTAACACTGGCATTTG